ATTTTGAATACTCACTGATTATTTCATTCATCTATTAAACTAAAGAAAATTCTGAAGATTCCACTCGTGACTGAAAAGTTTGTTTACCGAAACCATTTGCATTCATCATCAATTCATGTGCACACAAAATGTGACATCACCATGATTAGTGGACCAGTTGTAGTAATATATCTCTATGTATGACAGCCCAGCTTGTGTGTGACAATTAGACATGCAGGCGGTGAGATGTGAGGAGTCTGGTGCTAGCAGTATCTTTTTTTTTTAAAGTGAGTGAGTTTGGTTTAGCGCCGCTTTTAACAGTATTCCACTTATATCGCGGCGTGTCAGCTTAATGTGGGAGGAAAGCCCGAAGTGATGCATGTCTCAGACGTTTACCACTTCGGTGAAACCCACAAGCACAGGTATGGTGCTGACAAACCTAGAAACATAATCAGAGCACACCAGAATTCGAACCCACAATCATAGGTTCCTGGCATGCCCAAGGGATGCAACTTTGCACAGCGAATCACGGCACCTTAGACAACTGGGCCACCCATGCCACCCATGCCACCCCGACCCCCTTTTCTTTTTTCACATTGTGAACCTAAAATTTGGTGCATGTATTAGTGATCTAGGCTGTTTATTTCAATGTTGGTTTTACTACACTAATGTGAAATGCAGCAATCCAGAACATTTTTGTCAGCAAGGCATGGGAGTGTGTGTTAACAAGTGCAAAAGTGAAGTTGAACTGAAGACTTGTGAACACTCGTAATATTTTCTGGTTGAATACAGTTTATTAGCAACAACAAACACGCCCAAAGCTTTACATTTCGTATATACCATATTTATTCGCGTATAATACACCCCCCTAATTATGGGCTATTAAATCCTGAAAAAGATATCTCTCGTGTATAATACGCACAGACTTTTCTTCAGTCTGTCATGATCCGTCATCGGAAATAGCATAACAAATCCGAATTGAATTACGCAAGTTAATCCTGTTGTTACACTATCTGGTAATAAAAATGTGTTCTCTGTATATCTGACCTTATGTTTGTCATCTATTTTATTAATTTTATTTAAAATTTCATTCAATAATGTTTACCTAAATTTCGGCAAAAACATGTGTCCCTCCGATACTTACAACTTCTGTTTACCCTGTTCCATAGGTTCTGCTTAACCACATACTGTAACCGTGCCAAGTCACATTATTCACTGCAACAATGATAATATTTTCTTCTGTTTCATTTTTTACGAGTCTACACATCTAGATAAACATATGTCATGGTTAACTTTTAGTGAGAAAATATGCCGAAACATGAAAAACCTTGTCCATTTGCGGAATTTCCTTTGTTTACATCACGTGCTGTCATCGAAGCCACATGGAGTGTGAGAGTTACGTTCACTTTGATGCATAAATATATTTTGAAACGACGATTAATTAAAAACTAGACGTAAATTTTAAGATGTTTGCATATATTGTCTTCAGAAAATGTTTATAAATTAAGTTCAGGTGAGTAGTATTAATATTTTCATTCCAAAGCTGGTAAACAATACAGATATTTTGAAATTGAGTCAGTCATGACGCAGTCATTAATTTCTGGACGTATTTTTCCTTAATTGAGAGTCATATACGCAAGAATACTGCATCAGGGGAAACCCTGGTTAGGGTTTGAAAAATTCATATAAAAATGGAAAATTAATAAAAACAATTTTTTTTCTTTTGACTGCACCCCTCCATATGACACAGATTATATGTACTAATTTTGAGATGAATCCACTGAATAGTTTAAGAGAAATTGCGCGGACAACATTTTCGAACAGACGTTAGGGTTTGAAAAATTCATAAAAAAATGGAAAATTAATAAAAACATTTTTTTTCTTTTGACTGCACCCCTCCATAAGACACAGATTATAGTACTAAGTTTGAGATGAATCCACTGAATAGTTTAAGAGAAATCGCGCGGACAAAGTTTTCGGACGGACGTTAGGGTTTGAAAAATTCATAAAAAAATGGAAACTTTATGAAAACAATCTTTTTCTTTTGACTGCACCCCTCCATATGACACAGATTATATGTACTAAGTTCGAGATGAATCCACTGAATAGTTTAAGGGAAACCGTGCGGACAAAGTCTTCAGATGGACATTAGGGATTGAAAAATTCATAAGAAAATGGAAAATTAATAAAAACATTTTTTTTCTTTTGACTGCACCAATCCATAAGAAACAGATTATATGTACTAAGTTTGAGATGAATCCACTGAATAGTTTAAGAGAAGTCGCGCGGACAAAGTTTTCGGACCGACAGACGGACAGACGGACGGAATCTTGGTATAACTATATACCTCGACATTTTGTCCGGGGTATAATTAAAAGTACAAGTACCGCTGTGTGACGTCATACGAGACATAATTTACGAGATATCACAATAATTACTGGGATCCATGAATCAAAGTTATCTACAGAGTTAGGAAACTGCTCACTATACATTCCACCAGGAGAAGAGTTCAGCACTGCTGACTGTATTTCAAAATAGAAAAGCCATTTTCAAAAATTGTATCCTGCATAAATTTTCCCATGAAAATGTTCGAGTACAGAAAGGGTTCTCATTTTGAAATACAGAAACGAACCAATTAAATAATGACATGTTTCGTAACTGTTCACAACATGTCACAAAGGAGCAAGCCCTTCTTCCAAGACTGGTACTTGGCAGTATATGCACTGCATCACCTTTATGTCCTTGTCTTTACTGACGGATTATTAAGCACACAGTCATGTTGGGATTTCTCTTTTATTTGCACCCAATATGTTCAAACAAACATGATCACCGTATTGGACTTAATAAGCGCCCAGGGCGCTCTCAAAATTAAAAATAGGGGGCTCTTATTAGAATATTATTTTGGTGAAAAAAACAGAGTTGAAAGATAAATTTCGTGGTTTATGGTGACAGCCTGAAATGTTTATGTACGACAGATATATTTTCCCAGAATTTAATCACCCATAATTAAGGGTGCATATAACACACGAGTGCGTATTATACGCGAATAAATAAGTCTTGTGTACATTGATCAATCAATCGGAAGGGGTGCTAATTGGGATTGTTCACCAGCCAATATATCAGCAAATATCGCCGTGGGCGCTTATTAGAGCGGGGCGCTTATTACGTCGAATATGGTAAATGCCATATATTTACATTCAATGTCCTGTATCACATATCAATGAGAAACTAGAGTGAGGGAGTTAAATTTAACATCACATCTGCAACATTTTGCCACGTCCCGAAACTAGAACTATAAACATGGTAAAACGACATTATACATACATCTGGAATATAACTAAACATCGCATTGTATCTATTTCCTCATAAAATAGATATATTTTGAAATCGTATTTATTTGTGACACATCAACTTTATCCAGATACTGAGCAACGGGTGACAAGTACTCGATACTCTGTTCACAAATCATAAAATCTAGAAATAAAAGTGACAGCTTATACCAAATACAGTTCATGGAATAATGTTTGGTGAGCAGTTCATGTGAAGATCCGAGATTATTTTCTCAAGTCATTCGAGAAGCACCAGGGAGCAGTTCAGTTTAGGATACAAAATAAATTCCAAAGTTTAGAGACATAACCTCCACCCACTAAATATGAAAACTGTGACCTCTGTGGCCTCTTGAGAAGAACAGATGTTACCATGGTTACAGGTGACTCCAAACAGCATGCTGAAGTGAGTCCTACTTCACAGAGATTTATATAGCTAGTGGTGCAGCAGAGCTTTGGAGTATGTCAAGATGGCTGCCTTATAGGGGTGTCACGATAAATCGAAATATCGATATATTGCTATTGAAGATCACTGAAAGTCAATAAATCGAATGTTAAATCAGTTTCCGATCAATAGTATCGATTTCAATTAGGAATATCGATAGTGACGATTGTTTTACAGTTTCAATAAAAAAAATGCAGTGCTGTTCAAATTTGTTTTTCATTTGATCATGAGTGGTAGTAATTTACACATAGTAATGTTGAAGTTTCTTTTCTTTTTTTAAATTATTAGGGTAAAGAAAAAGCAAATCAGTCATATCTCAAACTTTACATTTTATTTGTTGTTATGGTTATCACATTCAAAGGAAACATCAGTTCCAAGGTTTAATTCAACTCCAAAATCCATCTAAAACGATAAACTGAAAACTATTGATATTTATCGCAATAGTTGCTTGCAATATCAATAGTTATCACAATAATTTCTTTCAATATCAATAGTTATCGCAATAGTGATTTCCAGACCAATAGTCACCCCTACTGCCTTACCCCTCCACTCCTTGTTGTACCCATGATGGAGATCAGGCCCATTTTCATAGTATATTAAATAATATAATAATAATAATAATAGGAGCTGTTATTTATTGACTTGCTTGAACTGCAAACCACACGAAAGCTTGATCCTTGAAAACTTGATAGAACTGCTCCCATGGCCAGTTAGTTGTTCTGTCTCCTTGACCTTGACTCATGTCTCCAATCAGATCTTTCACTCCTACACGATGCCTTTGCGTGAATATCTGAACACATCACCATAGGTTGCATAAGGAGAACCCTGAGCAACCATTGACCGCCAAATATAAATTAAGGATACATGGCTATTACTGCCTGTCAGATGTCAGATTTCAAAAACTATTTTGTTTCCTTTCGGTACGACCTCAGTTTGACTTGCAAATGTAAACCCACCCAGAAGCATTCCTTCAATGTACTCCCTGTTTGGTGCAGATAGCATTCAGAATCAATGGCTGCATAAAATATCCACAACACTATACTGTAATGATGTGGCCTTATTTATCTCCACTTGGAACTTATCGTCTTAGTTCATATTTGAGATACAGAAACCAGATATGCTGTTTGGTATGCTTTGAGGCAGACTGGCTGTTCAGAAAGTTCCCCTGACAGGACTCCTATGGTGGTCCTCAGATCTTAATGAAGAAAAGTATTGTATCTGAGTAAACGATCTGATTTTGATGAGGTTGGATCATCTCTTAAACCTGGCAGTGTCTATCTCTGCTTCTCTTTCTGTCCCTCCCCTCATTTCTCTCCTCTTTTCTGTCTCTCCTGTCATCTCTCTCATATCTTCTCTCCTTCCTTGACCGATCTCTGTCATAGCGATCTTCATCTACATCTCGTCTCACTTTGCCCGACTCTCTGTCTCTGTACCTGTCGCCATCAACATCCCTCCTTTTCGAAACCTGCCGCTCATCCTCAGAATCAGACGAGCTTGACCGCTGCTTTTTCGAACCTCTGCGACTAGAGTTGCCATTTCTTGATGCATATTTCTCATTTTCAGAATCAGAATTAAATCGCTGTTTGTATTCACGCTTTATTTTTTTACTCCTCTCATGCGATCGGTCATCCTCGGAATCTGAGCTTGAGGGCTGATATCTCCCTTGTTTATTGTCTTTTGACTTCTCCCCCTTTCTCTGATGATCAGACTGATGTTTGTGATGTCTGATCCTGTGATCCTGTTTATGATCTTCCTCCGAGGATGAGTCTCTTCGTGACCTTGTCGGTTCGGATCTACGTTGAAGTGCCTCTCGGTCATGTGACCTATGTATAGGGCTCCGACTACGCTCACCAATAGAGTGTCCTCGATATGAAGATGGAGATCCTCGTTTACTGGGTCGTGTTTCTTTTGGTCGAACATCTCTACTTCTAACAGAGTAAGCTCCCCTTGGATCTGAAATTTAAAAATATATTAAATTTCTCAAAGTAGTCTAAAAGAAATTTACTTTGCCCTTAAGGCCAGTATTTTTCTAGGTATTTGTTTACAGATTTTGAGTAGAAAAACTTGTCGGCAGGTGGAGAAACATGTTTAATAGCAAACAAAAGTGTCTAATCTGAAGAAACTGCCATGTTCCGTAAGCAGTTTTGGGAGTCTTGGCCCACTTGCACAAAGCGATCTTAGCCCTACGACTATTGTAAGCCTATGTTAAAGTATGGGAGTTACGATCATCTTAGCGGTAAGATCGCTTTGTGCAAGTGGGCCCTGGTCTTGCTTGTCTGGCAGTTTAAGGTACTACATATACATAATCTTTGGAGCTGAAAATGTAAGTTTGCATATGGCACATTAAAATTAAAATACACCAATTGCTTTCCAGATTTTATTTTTACTCAAAATGTTTAATTATTGGGTCTGTGGATCTAAAAACCATATTTAATTTGTGTCGTAATGAACCAGAAGTTGATGTCGAACCAACTGATATTCAAGAGGAGCCTGTTGTTTTTTTAGTTGACCTGTTCCCCAAAACACTTGAAAAAACAATTTTACTTTGGCTCCTCCTACCAGCATTTTCAGAAAAACAATCTTGAAGCTCGGACTGAAAATATCTAAAAGTCTCAAAACGAAAACCAGAGGCCCCCGCAGGAAATAAAATGGTCAATCCCTGTGTGAAGTCTAGATACTGGACTAGCTGTGCCAAGACTGAAAAGAGACCACACTCAACTGTTAACATTTCTTGTTAGCAAGTCACGCCAGTAGGTCCCGTTCGCAAGTCACATCACCAAAATTCTCTATGTTTTAGCTGTGGGCTTCAGATTGATCACAAACTTGATGATGTCAAGTGAGTGAGTGAGTTGGGTTTACACTGCTTTTAACAGTATTCCAGTTATATCACGGCGTGTCAGCTTAATGTGGGAGGAAAGCCCGAAGTGATGCAGTCTCAGACGTTTACCACATCGGTGAAACCCACGGGCACGGGTATGGTATGACAAACCTAGAAACATAATTGGGGTGAACTGGGATTCGAACCCACAATCATAGGTGTCTGGCGTTGATGTCCAGTGTGTTAGCTCTGGCCTAAACTCACCATCACTGTCATCGCTGCTGCTACTCTCGGAGTCCGAGTCTGCATTTTTTCTTTTACTGGTCCTCAACTTCTTCTTTCTTCCCCTCTTTTCAGAATCTACAGAAAGAGAGGATATGACATGTGAGTGAGTGAGTGAGTTTGGTTTTACGCCGCTTTTAGCAATATTCCAGCAATATCACGGCGGGGGACACCAGAAATGGGCTTCACACATTTTACCCATGTCAGGAATCGAACCCGGGTCTTCGGCGTGACGAGCGGACGCTTTAACCACTAGGCTACCCGACCGCCCCTTGGATATGACATGTAACCATGGTAACAGATACATTGTTTGTTTGTTGTTTTGTTCAACACAACACTGAGCAATATTCCAGCTATACGTTTAAACAATCGAGTCTGGACCAGACAATCCAGTGGTTAATATTGTGAGCAACAATCCACGCCGGTATGATGTCATACAATCAACCAAGTCACCAAGATCCATCTTACAACCGGCATTGTTGCTGGGGAGCTATTCTAACCCGGGGGGGAGATGGGATAGCATAGTGGTTACAGCATTCGCTCATCACGCCGAAAGGCCCGGGTTCGATTTTTTATCAATAACACCATAGATAAATACTTTGGGGCTGATATATTGATACTAAAGTTTCAGATCACTGACAATAACTGCAGCCTCCATGGTTAACAGTAGTCAAAGGGAGGTAACTCCTCACAATAACTGAGGGAACTGCAATTTTCTTCAAAGTTTATGTAATCAAGAATGTTTATTAGTTCATTTGTTTCTTAAAGCCGCACTCAGCAATATTCCAGCTATATGATAGTGGTCTCTAAATAAATAAGTCTGAACCAAACAATCCAGTCATTAACAACATGATGATCCATCTACGCATTAGAGATGTGGTGACATGCATCAACCAAGTCAGCGTGCCTGACCATCTTATCCAATTGTCGCCTTATACTACAAGCATAATAGTGGTCTCTAAATAAATAAGTCTGAACCAAACAATCCAGTCATTAACAACATGATGATCCATCTACGCATTAGAGATGTGGTGACATGCATCAACCAAGTCAGCGTGCCTGACCATCTTATCCAATTGTCGCCTTATACTACAAGCATAATAGTGGTCTCTAAATAAATAAGTCTGAACCAAACAATCCAGTCATTAACAACATGATGATCCATCTACGCATTTGAGATATGATGACATGCATCAACCAAGTCAGCGTGCCTGACCACCTTGTCCAATTGTCGACTTATATAACAAGCATGGGTTGCTGAAGCCCTGTTCTACCCCGGATCTTCATGATAAAGAATGGATAATACCAGTTACACATACCGTATTCGATGTAATAAGCGCCCAGGGCGCTCTCAAAATTAGAAATAGGGGGCTCTTATTAGAATATTATTTTGTCGAAAATAACTATTTTGTCGAAAATAACAGAGTTGAAAGATAAATTTCGTGGTTTATGCTGACAGCCTGAAACGTTTATATACGAGAGAGATATTTTTCCAGAATTTAATTGCCCGTAATTAAGGGTGCATATAACACATGAGCGTGAATAAATAAGTATTATGTACATTGATCAATCGAAAAGGGTGCTAATTGGGATTGTTCACGAGCCAATATATTAGCAAATATCCTGTGGGCGCTTATTTTGTCGAATACGGTAAATATAGCCCTGTTCTACCCCGGACCTTCATGATAAAGAATGGATAATACCAGTTACACATAACATGCGTAATGCTGCTTGTCCTACCAAAATATCACCCCTTTGAGCCTACATTTGTCAATACATGCCATGATCAAATCTGATTAAATATTTTGCAACATTCTTCAAAAGTTTTTTTTCTATTTTCTCAACAAATCTGAATCCTATTGCATTTCTTCACCAGATATCAATCTTTCAGATTCCTAGACCTTGTAGTGACTAAGAAGATATTTAGTTTTTAACAACTGAATTTTTGCTTCAATATTTTTAAAAAGCCATCTCAAAGTGTCACGCAATAAGCCCACTTGGACCGTCGGTCCTGGTGAACTAGAAATTGTCCAAATAGTTTCAACAAGACATACAATCGAATGAGAGTCAACAAGATGCACCCATTCAAACAAGATTCAACAAGATGCACCCAATCAAACAAGGTTAAAAAAAACACACAATCAATCAAGATTCAACACGACACACACAATTAAACAAGATTCAACAAGACACACACAATCATACAAGGTTCAACAAGATGCACCCAATCAAACAAGGTTAAAAAAAACACACAATCAACAAGATTCAACACGACACACACAATCATACAAGGTTCAACAAGACACAATCAAACAAGATTCACCAGATCACACACAAAACAAGATTCAATATGACACACCATCATTCAAGATTCAACAAGACTTATCCTCACCTGAAGATTCATAATCAGAACTGGCATGTTTTGATTTTTTCTTCTTTTTCTTTTCTTTCTTGCTCTTCTTGGACTTGACTGCTGACCCCCTGCTTTGAAGCTTGTTCAGTTTCCTACAAAATGGAAAGATGTTAGGATTACATCACCCTGCACAGATGGAGTGAGTGAGTGAGTGAGTTGGGTTTTACGCCGCTTTTTTAACAGTATTCCAATTATATCATGGCGTGTCAGCTTAATTTTGGAGGAAAGCCCGAAGTGATGCAGGTCTCAGACGTTTACCACTTCGGTGAAACCCACAAGCACGGGTATGGTGCTGACAAACCTAGAAACATAATCAGGGCGAACCGTGATTCGAACCCACAATCATAGGTTGCTGGCGTGCCAAAGGGATGCAACTCTGCACAGCGAATCGCTGCACAGATGGAGAATCTCACCCAAGTGTCTTCTGATATAACATGGATCAAGTCGATAACCCAAGGACCATAAACCTTATCACCGAGGGTTGATATATGTGATATCAAAGGAAGTGAGACTGAGATTCTTTTTATCATCCAAAATCATTCTAACACTTAGGTAGGAAATGTAAAGATGTCCGGGGATCAAATACTCACTAACACCTGCAAATTTTAAAACACATCAGTCATTTTCAGAAGCACTTTCTCTCTACATATACAAAGTTGTGAATGTCTGGAATGTGATGACATCAGTCTGGAATGTGATGATAACTGTCTGGAATGTAATGACATCAGTCTGGAAAGTAATGACATCAGTCTGGAATGTCATGACATCACCCTGGAATGTGGTGACATCTCCCTGAAATGTGGTGACATCAGTCTGGAATGTAATGACATCAGTCTGGAATGTGATGACATCACCCTGGAATGTGGTGACATCTCCCTGAAATGTGGTGACATCAGTCTGGAATGAGGTGACATCAGTCTGGAATGTGGTGAAATCAGTCTGGAATGTGGTGACATCTCCTTGAAATGTGGTGACATCAGTCTGGAATGGGGTGACATCTCCCTGAAATGTGGTGAACTCAGCCTGGAATGTGGTGACATCAGCCTGGAATGTGGTGACATCAGCCTAGAATGTGGGGACATCAGTCTGTAATGTGGTGACATCTCCCTGAAATGTGGGGACATCAAGTCTGGAATGTGGTGACATCTCCCTGAAATGTGGGGACATCAGTCTGGAATGTGGTGACATCTCCCTGAAATGTGGTGACCTCAGCCTGGAATGTGATGACATCAGCCTGGAATGTGGTGACATCAGCCTGGAATGTGATGACATCAGTCTGGAATGTGATGACATCACCCTGAAATGCAGTGACATCACCCTTGAATGTGATGACATCAGTCTTGAAAGTGGTGACATCAGTCTGGAATGTGGTGACATCACCCTGAAATGTGGGGACATCAGCCTGGAATGTGGGGACATCAGTCTGGAATGTGGTGACATCACTCTGGAATGTGGGGACATCAGCCTGGAATGTGGGGACATCAGTCTGGAATGTGATGACATCACCCTGGAATGTGGTGACATCAGTCTGGAATGTGGTGACATCACCCTGAAATGTGGGGACATCAGCCTGGAATGTGGGGACATCAGTCTGTAATGTGGTGACATCACCCTGAAATGTGGGGACATTAGCCTGGAATGTGGGGACATCAGTCTGGAATGTGATGACATCAACCTGGAATGTGGTGACATCTCCCTGAAATGTGATGACATCACCCTGAAATGTGGGGACATCACCCTTGAATGTGATGACATCAGTCTTGAAAGTGGTGACATCAGTCTGGAATGTGATGACATCACCCTGGAATGTGGTGACATCAGTCTGGAATGTGATGACATCAGCCTGGAATGTGATGACATCAGTCTGTAATGTGATGACATCACCCTGAAATGCAGTGACATCACCCTTGAATGTGATGACATCACCCTGGAATGTGGTGACATCTCCCTGAAATGTGGTGACATCAGCCTGGAATGTGGGGACATCAGTCTGGAATGTGGTGACATCTCCCTGAAATGTGGGGACATCTCCCTGAAATGTGGGGACATCAGTCTTGAATGTGGTGACATCTCCCTGAAATGTGGTGACATCAGTCTGGAATGTGCTGACATCTCCCTGAAATGTGGGGACATCAGTCTGGAATGTGGGGACATCAGTCTGGAATGTGGTGACATCAGTCTGGAATGTGGTGACATCTCCCTGAAATGTGGGGACATCAGTCTGGAATGTGGTGACATCACCCTGAAATGTGGGGACATCAAGTCTGGAATGTGGTGACATCTCCCTGAAATGTGGTGACATTAGCCTGGAATGTGGGGACATCAGTCTGGAATGTGGTGACATCTCCCTGAAATGTGGGGACATCAGTCTGGAATGTGGTGACATCTCCCTGAAATGTGGTGACATCAGTCTGGAATGTGGTGACATCTCCCTGAAATGTGGGGACATCAGTCTGGAATGTGGGGACATCAGTCTGGAATGTGGGGACATCAGTCTGGAATGTGGGGACATCACTCTGGAATGTGGGTGACATCAGTCTGGAATGTGGTGACATCTCCCTGAAATGTGGGGACATCAGTCTGGAATGTGGTGACATCACCCTGAAATGTGAGGACATCAGTCTGGAATGTGGGGACATCAGTCTGGAATGTGGTGACATCTCCCTGAAATGTGGGGACATCAGTCTGGAATGTTGGGACATCAGTCTGGAATGTGGTGACCTCAGCCTGGAATGTGGGGACATCAGTCTGGAATGTGGTGACATCTCCCTGAAATGTGGGGACATCAGTCTGGAATGTGGTGACATCACCCTGGAATGTGGTGACATCACCCTGAAATGTGGGGACATCAGTCTGGAATGTGGGGACATCAGCCTGGAATGTGGGGACATCAGTCTGGAATGTGGTGACATCTCCCTGAAATGTGGGGACATCAGTCTGGAATGTGGTGACATCACTCTGGAATGTGGTGACATCACCCTGAAATGTGGGGACATCAGTCTGGAATGTGGGGACATCAGTCTGGAATGTGGTGACATCTCCCTGAAATGTGGGGACATCAGTCTGGAATGTGGGGACATCAGTCTGGAATGTGGTGACATCTCCCTGAAATGTGGGGACATCAGTCTGGAATGTGGTGACATCTCCCTGAAATGTGGGGACATCAGTCTGGAATGTGGTGACATCACCCTGAAATGTGGGGACATCAAGTCTGGAATGTGGTGACATCACCCTGAAATGCAGTGACATCACTCTGGAATGTGATGACATCAGCCTGGAATGTGGTGACACTGGTATGTGATGACATCAGTCTGGAATGTGGTGACATTGGAATGTGATGACATCAGTCTGGAATGTGGTGCCAGTAAACACTATATTAGATATATCCTGGTGTCAGTTAACACTATACCATATATATCCTGGTGCCATTCAACACTGTAATCCACAGGGAGATGAGAAATGTGAGAGGATCACAGGGGTTAATAACGCTTTGAGTTTGTCAAGCATGGAAAAAAACACAATACAAATGTTATTATTATTACTGCCCAAATGCACTGAGATAGCTGAGTGAACAAATATTTTAAAAAATAAATTCTACTTTGAGGATATAAATTACAAAAGAAGTGTTCAACCTGCTAAAAGCATAAAGACCTTACTTTAAGAGTTTTTTCTTCTGTTTGGGGGTGAGGGATTTCAGAAACTGAACCTCTGGATCGTCTTCATCGGTGTCAACAACCTGCCGAGGACATCAAAGATGGGTCATTAATGACAATAAATGGCAAAACATGACACATATTTTTGTAATTACTACTCAAGTTTGCAGTCAACAAATCACATCTTTTGTGTCAGCTGTATTCACTATATAACTGTACTGAATGGGTGTTTTTTAACAACATCACCCTCATTAGGACACTCTATTCCTGGTGAAGTGGCAAAGTCGATGTCATGAACTTTAAGTCAAACCATCAAAGGAAAGGTATTATACATGTATATATCCATCAACCAGTACTGTGACCCATGGCCATTGGTCCTTCTCTTTCAACACTGTCAATCCCCCTCAACAACTGAGCTAGTCTCAAATCTCACTTCAAGCCAAATCTGTTTTCGATCGCCTTTCAAGATTAACTTTTTTCGCTAAAGTTGTGCGCTTTGAGCATGCATTGTACATGGAGTAATGCACGATACAAGTTGACAATGGAATGTCACTGCACATAAGAAAGTGAGGGGAATTGTATAGACTTAGGTTTGTTTTCATTTGCAAAGAAACTTGTACCCCAAATGTAGATATTATGATCTTTCGTAAAAAGTTTTATCCATGTGCAGTGTTCCCGTTTACCGGTGATTACCAGTTTTCTACCGGTAAAATTAGGCTTGGACCGGTAATTCATGTGACTGCCAATCCCTTGGGACCGGCAAATAAAGTAGCTTATAAATCTGTGATATTCATATAAAGGTTAGTATATTTTTCAAATGAAGTCAGCTTGTCTGTTACCATCAGGGTTTCCCCTTGTCGATTTTTAGAGCAAGGAAATGACATTTTGCTTTGCTTCAAGGTTAAAAATATATTTGTATTGACTTCGTCTTGAAATATTAAAAAAAAAAGAAGAGAGAATATTGCAACTGAACTTTATGTCAATGATGTGTAGATCTAACTAAGTTACTTCAGAGATGATGTTATTGCATTGAACATGATGTTGAAAGAATTATAACCAGGTAATTTTGATGTTTTTTTATTTGTTGAAAGTTGGGACTGACAAAAATTAGGGGGGACTGGTCATTTTAAGAGTTACCAGTCCACCTGGACTGGCAGTTTCAAGAGCCAGTGGGAACACTGATGTGAAGTAAAAAAATTAAAAACTATTAATTATTCCTTTATTTACACAGTAAACGATTTCCCTGTGTCTACATAGTAAAGTGTGAACAAGTTTACCTGGCACATTAAACTGCACACTAATCTACTTATTTTAATTTGGAATGCTTGATTAGATTTTAAAAATATATCTGTCTTAGGAAAAGTCAAATATTCTCAACATAGACCAGCGGACACCCTGAAGCCTAAAACGAGCAGGACCCTGGCTGGAAATCTCCACTGACATTTTACACTGTCACTACAAAATAACCTACCTTCTTTTCATCTTCTCCCTCCATCAACCTTCCCATGATGCTCTTCTTCATCTGGAAGCCATCTTCCTTCAGGCTCTCCAGCAATGATGAAGTTGTGTTCTCAGCTATGGAAATACAAACATTTATATACATTTGAAGACATTCTCCAGGGAACACAGGACACAGTGTTGGAAATTGCTGCCTTCCAGCTACCGAAATGCCTTCAGTAATAAATTGGGCAAGTACTGTAATTTCTTGAGTATAGTGCGCACCCCCCTCTAGCGGGTTCAGTATTTTGGAGAAAAAAAATTCGAATACAAGCGCAGAAACAAATTACACCGTACCCCTTCAGCGAAACGGGTGAATTTGAGATAAAAAAAATCATCAGACATGTTGATTTACCGTTTAAATAGTATTTTTTGTTCTGCTAGGTATTGCTTTATATCCAGGGATTAAGATTACCTTGTGATTTTCTTGTAAACTAAGTCGGAAACAGCAATCAGCTGTACACACGTTTTCTTGGAATCTACTGGTGATTCGGTCAAGACACACCCAATGATATAACTTTACAGGATTTTTAATGCAAGGATCGGCAAAAAGGGTATCTGAAACTATTTATTTTATCAGGAATAATATATTCCAATATCTTGTTTATTTAGATGCAGCCTTTACTTAACATATTTAAAATAATAATAACCCTAAGCGAAGGAGCTGATCGCTATTCCCGGGTATTATTTTTTACATGGAACCAGTCTGACCAGTCACCGTCAAGGTTCAAGCGCACGTGATCGCGTGATCGCGTGATCGCGTGATCGCGAGAATTTCATGTTGACATAGAATCGTCAAACAAAAACAAATATGACTTTTAACTGGTCAACGTATGGCATTTATGATACATGTATCCATTCTCTGTCAACTAAAGTTCGTTTCAAGGCGTCAATAGCGGTGATCTGACCATGGTTGCTGTTAATAACAGTGATCTTCCGATCGCTTCACACACGATTTCACCGAAATTAATAAAAACAATATTAAAAGGAATTTTGAATAAAATTAATGAAATAAGTTACAAACATCAGTCCAGATATACAAAGAACACTTTTTATAGCCAGAAAGTGTAATTACATAATTAATTTGCGTACTTCAGTATGGATTTGTTGACATGGTATTTCCGGTGTTTCGTGCTCACGGTAATGTCTTTCCATGGTGGAAAAAAACATCCAAACTCATAATTCGCGCACCCCCTTCTACACAGCTGTGTTTTTTGGAAAAAAAGTGTGCACTATACTCAAGAAAATACGGTAACATTTCTGTAAAGCTGACCTTATTGTCTAGTTGGCATGTCATCGATCTCAATTGCGTGGATCGATGCTCATGATATCAACCTCTGGATGGTCTGGTCCAGACTCTATTATTTACAGACCGCCGTCATATAGCTGGAATATTGCTGAGTGCGGCGTTAAACAACAAAGAAACAAACAAACATGACATCATTGATATGTCGGAATGATGTCTCAACAGAGGCTGTTGGCACTTCCAAGTTACCATGGTTACCATGATGAACGTATAATGGTGGTCACACACAAATATGCATGTCATGTCACAGACTGCAAGAAAAAATTCAACTAAATTAAATTTTCCCTCGCAATTATTAATCTCATGCAATCTATAATGGATGAAGTAATATTGTTCCATTTTTTTCAAACTCGACATGCTCGAGATGGAGTTTGCTTGTCACACTGAAGACCCGGGTTCAATTCCCCACATGGGTACAATGTGTGAAGCCCATTTCTGCTGTCGCCCACCGTGATGTTGCTGGCATACTGGTAAAAGCGGCATAAAACATTACTCACTCAAACTTGAGATATAACACTTATCAAGAAAGGATTCTGTGAATAGCATAGTAGATTGCCGGACGGTAAATTTCTTTTTGACAATTGTTTTCAAACAATCAGATTTCAGCACACACTCAACAATCACTTTACAATGCAGCTTAAATAATTGTAACGTCTGCATTTTTTTAATTGTCTGGCAACATCATTCAAGGGTCTCAGTGATGTCATGATATCCGTACATGCTGAACAACAGACTTGTATGGGTTTTGATGGCTTTTTAGAAGATAATGAGGTGAGGTGAGGTGAGGTGAGGTGAGGTGAGGTGAGGTGAGGTGAGGTGAGGTGAGGTGAGGTGAGGTGGTTTAACGCCGCTTTTAACAGTATTCCAGTTATATCGCGGCGTGTCAGCTTAATGTGGGAGGAAAGCCCGAAGTGATGCATGTCTCAGACGTTTACCACTTCGGTGAAACCCACGAGCACGGGTATGGTGCTGACAAACCTAGAAACATAATGGGGGCGAACTGGGATTTGAACCCACAATCATAGGTTTCTGGCGTGCCCATGGGACGCAACTCTGCAAAGAGAAACGCGGCGCCTTGGACGACTGGGCCACCCGTGCCCCCTGAGGTGAGGTGAGGTGAGGTGAGGTGAGTTGAGGTTTAACATTGCATTCAAGAGTCATTGCACGTCTTATAGTGTTAGATACCATGCCACAGTTCTAACATGAGTACCCCAGTCAGACACAGCATTACGATTCTGAGATGACAAGTCCCATCTTTATACCTTTAATTAAAAGCGCCAGACAGGGTAACAACAAATACCATTTTCTTGCGTGTTTTTGTATGACGTATCAAACCCCCGACCTTCAGCTCTCCTATCACATGACCATGGAGGCGGTTTTAGAAGAGAGCAACTGACCAATCAGATAGCAAGATTCTTTTAAAAGAAATGATGAAAGTCTTACGTTGTGGCGGCTCTGCAGTAAGGTTCCTCCCAAAGAGAGGACAAATCTTGTCAGTGTTGACGTGGCCCCACTGTCGGCACTTGATACATCGGACATTACGCACCTCGATACCAAATGGCTGATCTCGAATTGTTTCATCATTCTTGGCATATCTGCAAGTAAAGACAAACAGACGTTACTAAAGTCAGACGTTCAATAATTAGTGTCAGCTTATTTCACTTGAGGTGAGGTGAGGTGAGGTGAGGTGAGGTGAGGTGAGATGAGTGAGTATGGTTTTACGCCGCTTTTAGCAATATTCCAGCAATATCACGGCGGGGGACACCACAAATGGGCTTCACACACTGTACCCATGTCAGGAATCGAACCAGGGTCTTCGGTGTGACGAGCGAACGCTTTAACCACAAGGCTACCCGACCGCCCCTGAAGTGAAGTGAAGTGAAGTGAAGTGAAGTGAAGTGAAGTGAGGTGAAGTGCATTTTAACATCACATTCAAAACTATTGCACTTCTATGGAGACACGCGTGTGTGTGTGTGTGTGTGTGTGTGTGTGTGTGTGTGTGTGTGTGTGTGTATCGAAGTTAAAGATCTGATTTAATTAATGATTTGCTTACGACAAGGACGGCATAACTTTCAGGCTTAACTTCGTCTACTGAGAACAAATGGCAGATAGCTTCGACAAGTGTTTTCTAAGCTGATATTGACAATGGTTCACTACATTTCATAGAATATTATACATCCTTGGCTATAACCAATTTGAACCAAGTTGTAAAAGGCAACCCAACTTCGTTACCCTGATGCACACACACCTTTTGAGGCATAAAATAATTCCATATATTTAAACGTTTCTAGCTGATTGGGTCCACCAGTGATTTTGTGGGGGAAAATGGCAATAGGCATTTTCATACACTGATTAAGTCAACATCACTACCAAATTTGACCAGGCTTTCACTATTCCAATCATATCATGGTGTGTCAGCTTAATGTGGGAGGAAAGCTCTGAATGATACAGGTATCGTATTCGACTCAATAAACGCTCAGGGCGCTCTCAAAATTAAGAATAGGGAGCTCTTATTAGAATATTATTTTGGTGGGGAAAAAAACAGAGTTGAAAGATAAATTTCGTGGTTTATGCTGTTTATGTACACCAGATATATTTTTCCAGAATTAAATTCCCCATAATTAAGGGTGCATATAACACACGAATGTGTATTATACGCGAATAAATAAGTCTTGTATACATTGATCAATGGAAAGAGTGCTAATTGGGATTGTTCACTAGCCAATATATTAGCAAATATCGCCGTGGGCGCTTATTAGAGCGGGGCGCTTATTACGTCGAATACGGTATTAGAAATTTACCATCTTGGTGAAATACTACTGAAAATTTGCAAGTGCCATCGTGTTCATGACAACAACAAATACTAAGACACTCAGACTATTACTATCAAAATTAGGTTTTTATTCATCTTTTTTCAATTTTTATTTGAGTGTTTATGATACTGTATTTGCCATAGATCTAATAAACAATCTGAGTGCTTAGAAAACCATGAACAACAAGTAATATTTGTTTTCAGAGATTGAGAGGTAGTGAACCAACTTTGCTCCAACTTGTAGACAGGGAGCTTACTATTGTGGATTTTGTATGTAAAACAATACTTTTTTGTTAGTGATTAGAAAACCATGAACAACAAGTAATATTTGTTTTCAGAGATTGAGAGGTAGTGAACCAACTTTGCTCCAACTTGTAGACAGGGAGCTTACTATTGTGGATTTTGTATGTAAAACAATACTTTTTTGTTAGTGATTTTCGCAATACTGTTTTTAACAGAAGATACTTTTTTTCACAATTGATAATTATCAATACAGGCAAAGTAGAAATGAGGACTAAAGTGGGAAAAACAGAAGATACTGAGAGACCAGGCTTAAAAAAAGAAAAAGAAAAAGAATTAATAAATATTATAAATATTAAATGAGTGAGTGAGTGAGTTGGGTTTAACGCCGCTTTTAACAATATTCCAGTTATATCACGGCGTGTCAGCTTAATGTGGGAGGAAAGCCCGAAGTGATGCATGTCTCAGACGTTTACCACTTCGGTGAAACCCACGAGCACGGGTATGGTGCTGACAAACCTAGAAACATAATCGGGGCGAACCGGGATTCGAACCCACAATCATAGGTTTCTGGCGTGCCCAAGGGACGCAACTATGCACAGCGAATCGCGGCGCCTTAGACGACTGGGCCACCCGTGCCCCCAAATATTAAATGAAATCTTTAATATATTTTCTTTCAGTTTCAGGATCATCATTGCTACTGCAAGTGGTACAATACTTCTCCGTTCATTACTTGTGTTCTTATTTTCAATGTATACACTCCACCATCTATAAGTGGAGCTTCAAAAATGTTTGGTTTGTCAGGCCTTGGTAATGACCAGGCCTACTCTTCAACAGGTCTAGCATAAGAGCCAAGGATCCTGCGATTAAGAGTTGCTCGGAGGAGCAAACACACTAACAACACCTTTATCTCTAGCCTAGTTTCATGATATCACTGTACACATATTTACATTATATATTAATTGTTCAATTTAGTCATCTGTTTGTACAACCTGAAATATTCTAATGAACAGAAACATCAGAAATTTATTATTAGTTATTTGTGGTTAAATGACAGGGAAGGTATCTGTTGATTTAACTTAATACTGAGGGCAGAAATGGATTTTTAGAACATATTCAGAGTTGTCTCCCCTTAATACCTGGTGTGGGTTTATGGAGTAAAACAACTGTAACTATTTATTGATGTACAGTTGTACACATAGGTCAGGATGAGAAATCAACATTGCTGATTGAAATAAATCGTCAAAATATGTTTGTGTTTCTGATAGATTTTAAAAAGTGAAATTCATTAGGATATGAGTCATTAGTTCTGTACCACAAATATCTGCATTTAAATTAGTCAAAACTAGTCCAGATAACAAAAATTGGCTAGTCTAGTTAGCTGTGTGGAATCAGCATTAGAATTAGAATTATATTTATTTTTAAGCAGAAAAATTATTGTGTAACAATAGATTTCATTGACAGTGTGTTAGTCAATAAACTTGTGTTCGTTGACATATTCTCAAGGAATCCTTTTTCTACGTCTTCTAATATGTCTATTGCAGTGTAATCATTCCAGCTCTGAACACTGTTTTAGTCATAGGAAATACCTATGTAACAATCTGATTAGGTCATTTTCACTCTACACAACATTACAATTTTCATACCTTAGAACTGTAGAAGAGTGAGTGAGTATGGTTTTACGCTGGTTTTAGCAATATTCCAGCAATATCCCAGCAGGGGACACCAGAAATGGGCTTCACACATTGTACCCATGTCGGGAATCAAACCCTGTTCTTCGGCGTGACGAGCGAACACTTTAACCACTAGGCTACCAGATCGCCCCCATACCTTAGATGAACAATTTTAGATGATACAACATGAAATAATGATTAATAAACACACTTGTACCTGGTTTATAAGCCATACTTTAAAAAAACATTCATCTCATATCTAATATTGTATCAATCTCTTATAGCTATTTAATAGACGGACAGTTAGTCCCAGAAATAAAGTTATCTCATTTAGAAATATTTTTAAAACAATTCAAAATAAAATCCAAATGGAGCCTCAATTTCAGGCTAGAGCTGAGGCAATCTGGACATGACAAATCATTCTAGACTTGAGTTGGACTCCTTTTTTAATTTATTATTCTTGGGTTTGGGAGACAGACAAGCTATGTAAATAATCACTGGGTAATCAGTACACTTTAGATAACAGTAGCAAGGTTATTATTATCATTATCATTATCAAGTCATGTGCATTGTCTGCTGCCTATAAATAAGGCCACAGATTTTGTTACTTGCTTAAATGGTCTGCAGCCTAAATTTGGTGGAAATTAATGTTTTTTTCAGAATTTGCCCTTTTTTTCATTCCACCAAAAGTCCCACTTTTGGTTCGTAGCCATTGGACACCTCCAGATCAGTGAAGATAAAAATAATGCTTTTCAGTATTTTTCAACATCTCAAATCATCAAAAGGCACCAGTTTACCACTAGAGAGATCTGTATAGTAGGGTTGGTTGGTTTATTGTTTAACGCCGCACTCAGCAATATTCCAGCTATATGACGGCGGTCTGTAATAATCCAGTCTGGACCAGACAATCCAGTGATTGATATCATGAGCATCGGTCCACGCAATCGGGATTGATGACATGCATCAACCAAGTCAGCGAGCCTGACCACCCGATCCCGTTAGTTGCCTTTTTACGACAAGCATAGTCGCCTTTTACGGCAAGCATGGGTTGCTGAAGACCTATTCTACCCCGGAATCTTCACGGGTCTGTATAGTAGGGCTGGGATGGGTACCTCAGGTACTCGGGTCGGGTGGGTCTGGGTAGGACTCGGGTACCCACAGGACTACCCAAACTCGTGGTTAGTTACATGATATATTGTTTAATGACAAAAATTATCTAAAACTCTAATGTTTCCATTTCTTTCTGACAATGCACCCATTCCTTCTTACTTTTCTATGTTTGAATAAAGATAAAACTCCATGCAGTAAACTTCAGTGTATGCATGACCAGATCATTTTACACGTGTATCTTAATACATTTTGCCATGGTTACGGTCAAACTTTTCCAAATCAGACAGTTTGTACCTATCTCTAAACTACAACGGGTAGGAGGGTACCGGGTAAAAGGGTGGAGGGTACCCAGGTAGGGTCGGGTAATAGGGTGGTGGGTACCCGGGAAGGGTAGGGTTATAGGGTGGTGGGTACCCGGGTAGGGTAGGGTTATAGGGTGGTGGGTACCCGGGGAGGGTAGGGTTATAGGGTGGAGGGTACCCGGGTAGGGTAGGGTTATAGGGTGGAGGGTACCAGGGTAGGGTAGGGTTATAGGGTGGAGGGTACCCGGGTAGGGTCGGGTTATAGGGTGGAGGGTATCCGGGTAGGGTCGGGTTATAGGGTGGAGGGTACCCGGGTAGGGTAGGGTTATAGGGTGGAGGGTATCCGGGTAGGGTCGGGTTATAGGGTGGAGGGTACCCGGGTAGGGTAGGGTAGGGTTATAGGGTGGAGGGTATCTGGGTAGGGTAGGGTTATAGGGTGGAGGGTATCCGGGTAGGGTAGGGTTATAGGGTGGAGGGTACCAGGGTAGGGTAGGGTTATAGGGTGGAGGGTACCCGGGTAGGGTCGGGTTATAGGGTGGAGGGTATCCGGGTAGGGTCGGGTTATAGGGTGGAGGGTACCCGGGTAGGGTAGGGTTATAGGATGGAGGGTATCCGGGTAGGGTCGGGTTATAGGGTGGAGGGTACCCGGGTAGGGTAGGGTAGGGTTATAGGGTGGAGGGTATCTGGGTAGGGTAGGGTTATAGGGTGGAGGGTATCCGGGTAGGGTCGGGTTATAGGGTGGAGGGTACCCGGGTAGGGTAGGGTAGGGTTATAGGGTGGAGGGTATCCGGGTAGGGTAGGGTTATAGGGTGGAGGGTATCCGGGTAGGGTAGGGTAATAGGGTGGAGGGTACCCGGGTAGGGTCGGGTAATAGGGTGGAGGGTACCCGGGTAGTTAATTTGGACTCGTCCCAGCCCTACTGTATGGCAAGTTTCATTCAGAAATATTCAACAGTTATGGAGCACTACCCTCATTTTAAGAAAAGTCCAACTTGTTTTCATGAAAACATAAATAAAGTTTAAAAATAAAAATCCCAAATCATCAAAAGACACCAGTTAACCAAGAAATATGTAACAGTGTTGGAGTTGTGCGCTGGAAATGGAAAACAACTTGTTTTCATCATTAAAAAATCATGAAAACATAATATACAGAATAAAAATCCCAAATCATCAAAAGGCACTTCCAAAGTAAAAGTTCAAACCGGGGCTTGATCAAAATTACTATACAAAATAATTTGCTGTTTATCTGGATATACGGTTTCCGAAAACGGACAGCTAATTAAATTTCACAAAGCGAAAATGCAATTGTACATTATTATGACCCACTGACGGACAGCGTAAATATGTCATGATGATTGTTTAGTGGACATGAGGATGACCTCTGACCTCTTCTGTGATTAGTTGCTTGCCTTTGACAGGAAAATTTGAATAAAGTGCAGTGTAAGTTAGCTGCTTGTTTGATTTGGGCAGGGGAGCTAACTCTGGTCAGTTTACTAAGTGATTCCCATATCCGGAATTTTTTTTATCTGGACATTTCCTTGAAAAATGCAAGTGTCCAGATAAGCAGGGTTCCACTGTTGCATGATGTGCCATGCTGTTCCAATCAACACAAACATCAGTCATCTAAGGTGCTGCAATTCGCTTTGCAATTCTTGGTCCTGCCAGAAACCTATGATTGTGTGTTTGGTTCTCAGTGGGCACTGATTCTTAGTGAGTAGTGTTTGTTTTTATGCCTCTTTTAGCAATATTCCAACAACATCCAGATGGGTACATTAGAAATAGGCTTCACACATTGTACCCATGTAGGGAATCGAACGTGGGTCTTCGGCGTGATGAGCAAACACTATAACCACTACATATAATCAATAATTCATGACAAATGAGTGAGTGAGTGAGTGAGTGAGTGAAAGGTTTAGCGCCGCTTTTAGCAATATTCCAGCAATATCATGGCGGGGGACACCAGAAATGAGCTTCACACATTGTACCCATGGCGAGAAACGAACCCGGCTTTCGGCATGACGAGCGAATGCTTTAACCACTAGGCTACCCGAGTGAGTGAGTGAGTGAGTGAATGAGTGAGTGAGTCTAGTTTTACGCAATAATCCAGCAATATCACTTCAGAGGACACCAGAAATAGGCTTCGCACATTGTACCAATGTAGAGAATCGAACCTTGGTCTTCAGCATGATGAGCAATCGCTTTAACCACTTGGCTACCCCACCACCCCAAATACTATAAGAGCAAAATCTCCAGGATCCCAAGACACCCCTTAATTTTGACCACTGCTTTTGGCAAAACAAGGATCATGCTCCTCATAAGGGAGGCAACTCTGTATGTTGATGGCAACTCAACTGGACTACAAAGACTCTTGAAATAAAATCCCTATTTAAAGCCAGTGTTTATTCTTCAGAGTTAAGATGAGATATGATGCAACTTACGCCTCGCGAGGAGCGTTGTACTTCCTCTGCCACTCAAACTTAATCTCCTGTTCTCCATCGTCTTCCTGCTGTAAGTAACATATAAGTAATGCATAAGTAATTAATACATAAGTAATATGTCGGTAAGTAATACGTAAGTAACATGTAAGTAATATGAAAGTCAGGGGTGGAGAAGAAATTGGACTGCCTGATGCCCATGGCATGTAAATCTTTTAAGTTAATTTGGGACAGTTTGCAGCTATGCTAGCGACCGGACCGATACAACGTATAACAAAAATTGGAATGTTATTTTTTTCGATAAAAACAAATCATTATTAACATAAACACATCCACGTGCACTTTAAAGGTTTAACTCTGTGGCCATGTGGTTTCAGAGAAGACTAAGGGGCATGGGTGGCCCAGTCGTCCAAGGCGCTGCGATTCTCTGTGCAAAGTTGCATCCCTTGGGCACGCCAGAAACCTTATAATTGTGGGTTTGAATCCTGGTTTGCCCCTATTATGTTTCTAGGTTTGGCAGCACCATACCCGTGAACGTGGGTTTCACCAAAGTGGTAAACATCTGAGACCTGCATCACTTCGGGCTTTCCTCCCACATTTAGTTGACACGCAGCAATATAACTGGAATACTGTTAAAAGCGGCGCTAAACCCAACACACTCATTCACTCACTCAGAGAAGATTACAGAACATTGCTGGTCCTGGTGAGCCAAACTTCTAACTTCATCCTACCTCCTTCTTCTTCATCCCAGGCGGGGCATCATACAGGAAACTCAGGCCTAGTTTGGCTTTCTCATCTCCTAACAGAGCTCTGAAATCAGAATAAGTATTGATGTATTTATGTTGTAGTAGCTGGGATTATCAGGACTCAATTTAAGGATCTTGATTTTACTTGCACCAGGTGGATGTTGGCATGAGAATCTAGTTGCACCAGGTGCATGTTGGCATGAGAATCTAGTTGCACCAGGTGCATGTTGGCATGAGAATCTAGTTGCACCAGGTGCATGTTGGCATGAGTTTATTTTTGTACCAGGTGCATGTTGGCATGAGAATCTAGTTGCACCAGGTGCATGTTGGCATGAGAATCTTTTTGTACCAGGTGCATGTTGGCATGAGAATCTAGTTGCACCAGGTGCATGTTGGCATGAGAATCTAGTTGCACCAGGTGCATGTTGGCAAGAGAATCTAGTTGCACCAGGTGCATGTTGGCATGAGAATCTAGTTGCACCAGGTGCATGTTGGCATGAGAATCTAGTTGCACCAGGTGCATGTTGGCATGAGAATCTAGTTGCACCAGGTACATGTTGGCATGAGAATCTAGTTGCACCAGGTGCATGTTGGCATGAGAATCTAGTTGCACCAGGTGCATGTTGGCATGAGAATCCAGTTGCACCAGGTGCATGTTGGCATGAGAATCTAGTTGCACCAGGTGCATGTTGGCATGAGAATCTAGTTGCACCAGGTGCATGTTGGCATGAGAATCCAGTTGCACCAGGTGCATGTTGGCATGAGAATCTAGTTGCACCAGGTGCATGTTGGCAAGAGAATCTAGTTGCACCAGGTGCATGTTGGCATGAAAATCTAGTTGCACCAGGTGCATGTTGGCATGAGAATCTAGTTGCACCAGGTACATGTTGGCATGAGAATCTAGTTGCACCAGGTACATGTTGGCAAGAGAATCTAGTTGCACCAGGTGCATGTTGGCATGAGAATCTAGTTGCACCAGGTGCATGTTGGCAAGAGAATCTAGTTGCACCAGGTGCATGTTGGCATGAGAATCTAGTTGCACCAGGTGCATGTTGGCATGAGAATCTAGTTGCACCAGGTACATGTTGGCATGAGAATCTTTTTGTACGAGGTGCATGTTGGCATGAGAATCTAGTTGCACCAGGTACATGTTGGCAAGAGAATCTAGTTGCACCAGGTACATGTTGGCATGAGAATCTAGTTGCACCAGGTACATGTTGGCATGAGAATCTAGTTGCACCAGGTGCATGTTGGCATGAGTTTATTTTTGTACCAGGTGCATGTTGGCATGAGAATCTTTTTGCACCAGGTGCATGCTGGCAGGGGAATCTTTTTGCACAAGGTGCATGTTGGCATGCGAATCTAGTTGCACTAGGTGCATGTTGGCATGAGAATCTAGTTGCACCAGGTGCATGTTGGCATGAGAATCTAGTTGCACCAGGAGCATGTTGGCATGAGAATCTAGTTGCACCAGGTGCATGTTGGCATGAGAATCTAGTTGCACCAGGTGCATGTTGGCATGAGAATCTAGTTGCACCAGGTGCATGTTGGCATGAGAATCTAGTTGCACCAGGTGCATGTTGGCATGAGAATCTAGTTGCACCAGGTGCATGTTGGCAAGAGAATCTAGTTGCACCAGGTGCATGTTGGCATGAGAATCTAGTTGCACCAGGTGCATGTTGGCATGAGAATCTAGTTGCACCAGGTGCATGTTGGCATGAGAATCTAGTTGCACCAGGTGCATGTTGGCATGAGAATCTAGTTGCACCAGGTGCATGTTGGCAAGAGAATCTAGTTGCACCAGGTGCATGTTGGCATGAAAATCTAGTTGCACCAGGTGCATGTTGGCATGAGAATCTAGTTGCACCAGGCAAAACCAAGCTGCACCAGGCAAAACCAAGCTGCACCCCGGTCCCATAAATTTAACAAAGTAAAAAGTTTAAACACAGATGCATAAACTGGTAATATCTCAGATCTATGATGACTGTGTCATGTGTCATGAATTACACAGGGATTTGGGATGTAGTATGGTAAATAAAAGTTAGAGTTATTGAATGTGTTCAAAGATCAATGACATTACAAAGAAAGTAAGGGTTAGTGAGACAAATTTCAATTTTAACACGTGCTTGTAAACAAAAATAGGATGCACTGGTGCATGTATTACAGTGTTCCCTCGCTATTGCGCTCTTCAGTATAGCGCTAACTCAGTTATAGCACGCGGTAAAGCATAGCTCCCAAAATTTACCAACATCACCTCAAGTTTTCCAATTACACGATGTTTTCCCCGATCTCAGAAAACATTATCAGCTGATCACCACGATCAGTCAACAAATCCGAACAGAAGTACGCAATTTAATCCTATTATTATAATATCTGGTTATTAACAAATTGTTCATTGTTTATCTGGACTAATGTTTGCAATATGTTTATTAATTATATTCAAATTTCAAAATTTCACTCAATAATTATAATAATGTTTACAATAATTTCGGCGAAATCGTATGCGAAGTGATCGGTTGATCGCACAACTCACATGCACATCGTTATTTACAACAACCACGGTCAGATAACCGCTATTGATGCCTTGAAACGAACTTTAGTTGCAAGAGAATGGATACGCATGTCATAAATGCCATACCATGACTCGCTAAATGTCATATTAGAGGCAGTTGACTGTTAAACATGTCAGATGTCAACATAACGTTTTTGCAAGCGAAATACATGTACCGCAGGAAGTCCCTACGGTGACTGGTCAAATTGTTCCATACGTAAAAAAATATCCTGCATACCACCTGTACCAAAGTGCTACGCTTATGATTCTTATCATTTGAAATATATATATAGTGGAAGCTGCAACTGAAATAACACGATATTGGAATATATTATTCCTGATAAAATAATCATTTCAAATACAATTTCTTCCGACATGGATCATTGGGCGTTTTTTTACTAAATCACTGGTAGATTGTGAGGAAACGTGTGCACAGCTGATTGCTCTTTCCGGCTTAGTTTCCGAGAAAATACACATGGTAATCTTAATTTCTGCATATAAAACAATGCCTTGGAGAGCAGGAAATACAATTTGAATGGTAAATCATCATGTCTAGTAATGTTTTATGTCAAATTTAATACTCTTATTGACCAAGTTTGTTATACCTTTTCATTTACCTGAATTCGCTGAAGGGATACGATGTGGTTTTTTTAAAGCGCATATTAATACTCGATAAATCTTTTTTTATACTATGAATCATAAACAACTTCTATTCTAATCTTTTTTTAAACTCTGAAACGTGCAACGTAGATCGTGTTAGGCAGGCAGAGCATATATACTGTTTTGTTGGTCATCTAACACCTACGACTCAACCTTCGTTAAACCGCTGATCATTTATGCGCTCATCAATTATTTGGACCCCAAAGGTAGCGTTGTAGCGAGGGTTCACTGTATATAGTTAAATCGAGCCCTGATTATCCATGACATAATTCAAGACACCGGTAAGCATGATTCGCAAGCAAGTTATAAAATCCATAATATATATGATATCAATCACTGGATTGTCTGGTCCAGACTCGATTATTTACGGACCGCCGTCATACAGCTGGAATATTGCTGAGTGCAGCGTTAAACAACAAACCAAACCAACCAACCAACCAAACAACCATGGACACCAACACTTTATCACCATGGTAACTGACAGTCCCCCTAGACTTGAAAATATATGTCCAGGTAAATCCCTGCTCACCTGTTGCTTAGCATCTCTTGCTCCTTTTGATACTGGTTCATTAAATCTTCTTGTTTCTTCTTCTCATAGGTCGTCTTTTGTTGAGCCATCCATACCTTGGAAGATAGATATAGAATATTAGTACAACAGTGCTCCCGTTTACTGTTAAGTATGGATTTTTTACTGGTAAAATTACACCTGGACAAGTTATTCATGTGACTTATAAATCTTTGTTGTTGAACAAAAGGTCAACAATCATCAAGAAAGTATATTTTTCAAACGGGGTTTCATCAGGGTTTTCCATTATCTATTTTTAGTGCAAGGAAATCAAATTTTGCTTGCTTCGAGGTTAAATATTTACGTGTAGTGACTCATCTCAACCCCAAGCAAAAAAGTGAAAAAGGCAGAGAAAATTGCGACTGCACTGTGTGTGAATTATGTGTAGATCTAACTAAATTCTAACTAAATTACTCCAGAGATGATGTCATTGAATTTGTCGGCCAGGAATGTACACTGCATTGAACATGATGTTGAATGGATTAAAAACAGATACCGTATTCATCGTAATAAGCGCCCAGGGCGCTCTCAAAATTAGAAATATGGGGGCTCTTTTTAGAATAGTATTTTGGTGAAAAAAAACAGTTGAAAGATAAATTTCGTTTTTTATGCCGACATCCTGAAATGTCTATATACGACAGATATATTTTTCCAGAATTTAATTGCCCATATTTAAGGTGCATATAACACAATCATGACTTCACCATATTAACTACATACATGGGTGGGAACACTGGTACAATCAGTCCATGACTTCACCATATTAACTACATACATGGGCGGGAACACTGGTACAACCAGTCCATGACTTCACCATATTAACTACATACATTGGCGGGAACACTGGTACAATCAGTCCATGATTTCACCATATTAACTACATACATGGGCGGGAACACTGGTACAATCAGTCCATGACTTCACCATATTAACTACATACATGGGTGGGAACACTGGTACAATCAGTCCATGACTTCACCATATTAACTACATACATGGGCGGGAACACTGGTACAATCAGTCCATGACTTCACCATGTTAACTACATACATGGGCGGGAACACTGGTACAATCAGTCCATGACTTCACCATATTAACTACATACATGGGCGGGAACACTGGTACAATCAGTCCATGACTTCACCATATTAACTACATACATGGGTGGGAACACTGGTACAATCAGTCTATGACTTCACCATATTAACTACATACATGGGCGGGAACACTGGTACAATCAGTCCATGACTTCACCATATTAACTACATACATGGGTGGGAACACTGGTACAATCAGTCCATGATTTCACCATATTAACTACATACATGGGCGGGAACACTGGTACAATCAGTCCATAAATTCACCATATTAACTACATACATGGGCAGGAACACTGGTACAATCAGTCCATGACTTCACCATATTAACTACATACATGGGCGGGAACACTGGTACAATCAGTCCATGACTTCACCATATTAACTACATACATGGGCGGGAACACTGGTACAATCAGTCCATGACTTCACCATATTAACTAAATACATGGGCGGGAACACTGGTACAATCAGTCCATGACTTCACCATGTTAACTACATACATGGGCGGGAACACTGGTACAATCAGTCCATGATTTCACCATATTAACTAAATACATGGGCGGGAACACTGGTACAATCAGTCCATGACTTCACCATATTAACTACATACATGGGCGGGAACACTGGTACAATCAGTCCATGACTTCACCATATTAACTACATACATGGGCGGGAACACTGGTACAATCAGTCCATGACTTCACCATATTAACTACATACATGGGCGGGAACACTGGTACAATCAGTCCATGACTTCACCATATTAACTACATACATGGGCGGGAACACTGGTACAATCAGTCCATGACTTCACCATATTAACTACATACATGGGTGGGAACACTGGTACAATCAGTCCATGATTTCACCATATTAACTACATACATGGGCGGGAACACTGGTACAATCAGTCCATGACTTCACCATATTAACTACATACATGGGCGGGAACACTGGTACAATCAGTCCATGACTTCACCATATTAACTACATACATGGGCGGGAACACTGGTACAATCAGTCCATGACTTCACCATATTAACTACATACATGGGCGGGAACACTGGTACAATCAGTCCATGACTTCACCATATTAACTACATACATGGGCGGGAACACTGGTACAATCAGTCCATGACTTCACCATATTAACTAAATACATGGGCGGGAACACTGGTACAATCAGTCCATGACTTCACCATACTAACTACATCCATGGGCGGGAACACTGGTACAATCAGTCCATGACTTCACCATATTAACTACATACATGGGCGGGAACACTGGTACAATCAGTCCATGACTTCACCATATTAACTACATACATGGGCGGGAACACTGGTACAATCAGTCCATGACTTCACCATACTAACTACATACATGGGCGGGAACACTGGTACAATCAGTCCATGACTTCACCATATTAACTAAATACATGGGCGGGAACACTGGTACAATCAGTCCATGACTTCACCATGTTAACTACATACATGGGTGGAAACACTGGCACAATCAGTCCATGACTTCACCATATTAACTACATACATGGGCGGGAACACTGGTACAATCAGTCCATAAATTCACCATATTAACTACATACATGGGCAGGAACACTGGTACAATCAGTCCATGACTTCACCATACTAACTACATACATGGGCGGGAACACTGGTACAATCAGTCCATGACTTCACCATATCAACTACATACATGGGCGGGAACACTGGTACAATCAGTCCATGACTTCACCATATTAACTACATACATGGGCGGGAACACTGGTACAATCAGTCCATGACTTCACCATATTAACTACATACATGGGCGGGAACACTGGTACAATCAGTCCATGATTTCACCATATTAACTAAATACATGGGCGGGAACACTGGTACAATCAGTCCATGACTTCACCATATTAACTACATACATGGGCGGGAACACTGGTACAATCAGTCCATGACTTCACCATATTAACTACATACATGGGCGGGAACACTGGTACAATCAGTCCATGACTTCACCATATTAACTACATACATGGGCGGGAACACTGGTACAATCAGTCCATGACTTCACCATATTAACTACATACATGGGCGGGAACACTGGTACAATCAGTCCATGACTTCACCATATTAACTAAATACATGGGCGGGAACACTGGTACAATCAGTCCATGACTTCACCATATTAACTAAATACATGGGCGGGAACACTGGTACAATCTGTCCATGACTTCACCATATTAACTACATACATGGGCAGAGAAAACTGGTACAATCAGTCCATGACTTCACCATGTTAACTAAATACATGGGCGGGAACACTGGTACAACCAGTCCTTGACTTCACCATATTAACTACATACATGGGCGGGAACACTGGTACAATCAGTCCATGATTTCACCATATTAACTACATACATGGGCGGGAACACTGGTACAATCAGTCCATGACTTCACCATATTAACTACATACATGGGGGGGAACACTGGTACAATCAGTCCATGATTTCACCATATTAACTACATACATGGGCGGGAACACTGGTACAATCAGTCCATGATTTCACCATATTAACTACATACATTGGTGGGAACACTGGTACAATCAGTCCATGACTTCACCATATTAACTACATACATGGGCGGGAACACTGGTACAATCAGTCCATGACTTCACCATATTAACTACATACATTGGTGGGAACACTGGTACAATCAGTCCATGACTTCACCATATTAACTACATACATGGGCGGGAACACTGGTACAATCAGTCCATGACTTCACCATGTTAACTACATACATGGGTGGGAACACTGGTACAATCAGTCTATGACTTCACCATATTAACTACATACATGGGCGGGAACACTGGTACAATCAGTCCATGACTTCACCATATTAACTACATACATGGGCGGGAACACTGGTACAATCAGTCCATGACTTCACCATATTAACTACATACATGGGCGGGAACACTGGTACAATCAGTCCATGACTTCACCATGTTAACTACATACATGGGTGGGAACACTGGTACAATCAGTCTATGACTTCACCATATTAACTACATACATGGGCGGGAACACTGGTACAATCAGTCCATGACTTCACCATATTAACTACATACATGGGCGGGAACACTGGTACAATCAGTCCATGACTTCACCATATTAACTACATACATGGGTGGGAACACTGGTACAATCAGTCCATGACTTCACCATATTAACTACATACATGGGTGGGAACACTGGTACAATCAGTCCATGACTTCACCATATTAACTACATACATGGGCGGGAACACTGGTACAATCAGTCCATGACTTCACCATGTTAACTACATACATGGGTGGGAACACTGGTACAATCAGTCTATGACTTCACCATATTAACTACATACATGGGTGGGAACACTGGTACAATCAGTCCATGACTTCACCATATTAACTACATACATGGGTGGGAACACTGGTACAATCAGTCCATGACTTCACCATATTAACTACATACATGGGCGGGAACACTGGTACAATCAGTCCATGACTTCACCATATTAACTACATACATTGGCGGGAACACTGGTACAATCAGTCTATGACTTCACCATATTAACTACATACATGGGTGGGAACACTGGTACAATCAGTCCATGACTTCACCATACTAACTACATACATGGGCGGAAACACTGGTACAATCAGTCCATGACTTCACCATATTAACTACATACATGGGCGGGAACACTGGTACAATCAGTCCATGACTTCACCATATTAACTACATACATGGGCGGGAACACTGGTACAATCAGTCCATGACTTCACCATATTAACTACATACATGGGCGGGAACACTGGTACAATCAGTCCATGACTTCACCATATTAACTACATACATGGGCGGGAACACTGGTACAATCAGTCCATGACTTCACCATATTAACTAAATACATGGGTGGGAACACTGGTACAATCAGTCCATGACTTCACCATATTATCTTTAACCATGGTAATCCTATTGAAAGGAAACCTTTCTGTGGCAGTGAAACATTAATGTGTTAATTATGATTAGGCTTAAAAAAATAAAGACATTGTTCTTAGGCAATGTTTTTTGAAAATATAATGTGGGCGGTGTCTTTTTTCTCTTTTGGCTGTCGTAAAAAGCGCCTAACAGGATAGGGTGGCCAGGCTTGTTGACTTGGTTGATGCATGTCATTGTATCCCAATTGGGTGGATCGATGTTCATGATGTCAATCACTGGATTGTCTGGCCCAGACTCATTATTTACAGACCGCTGTCTTATAGCTGGAATATTGTTAAATGTGGTGTTTGTCAGATCGTGTATATGGAAACCGATTTACATTTTTTTTATGATGGTACTCATAATTTTGTTACTTATATCTGTAGCCTGAGATATTTCCGATCAGACGTTATATATGGGGACTTTAGATCATGTAGATTTACAGTTTTTCCTACATTTTAGACAATTATACAATATAAGTTATTTTTTTGGATAGACTAAAGATCTAAATGTATGCTTATTGAATATAGTTCTAGTTTTGACTTTTTTAAATATGTTTTCGTTGCAGGAAGGGGAAAAATGTTACACAACCATTCCAGGAGATAAAATAAAGAATGTTGAATCATTGAGGAATACACAAAATAAACCCTGGGCTGTGAATTATGTTAAAGTAAGTACAGTTGTTTACAGTTACATTCCATTGTCTATGTCCATGTTAATTGGTGGGTTTGTTTTTTGCCCTAAATGAATGCTAAGAATGTAGATCTTTTCATATAAATCTATGCTCATACCACGTTTTGTATTCAACCTGATTCTTGATGTCTCTGCATGAATGTTAAAATTTGTTTCCATCAGACACTTGCATTATACATTATTGTTTGAAATTGATAAAGCCTTATCTCCAAATGAATGTTTCTTGTCATATAATATCTTTCAAATACCAGCTAGAGATTTATTAAGCTGTTTGTATTTCAGAAAGTGGAAGTGAACACCAAAGAAAGAAGATTCTGGCATTCAATAATTTCAAAAAGTGTATAAATTTTCAATTATCTAAAAATATTAAAATGTCAACACAAATGTGTCTTGGAGTTCTTTGTTGAATGGTGACGTCGCATGACTGAAAGTTGAAGTATACTATATGGACTTGATTAGAGACTGACCATTTAATATTCAAAGAGGTGGGGACCTGGAACTTTTCTATGGAGATTACATGTTTTCGGTCACAGCTACAAAAGCAGATATATGTTTTTATTTAACTCTATGAGCCTGAAGATAAACACCTTGCAACTAGATCTATGTCACTTTTTGTGGCAGGCATTTTTTTTCACCAGTCTGAACCATAATTATTTTGGTTAAGAATTTTCGGTGACAACATATTTTTTCGATAAAATTCCAGGCCCCGACCCTCCCCAAAATATCAAATGGTCAACCCCTTACCATGTCTGCCATTCTTATTTTGTTTCCTGCATTAAAAGCCCAAAGGGTAATGGTGTCTGACTTTGTTAGTCATATGTATCTAGTTAACAGCTCGGTGGTGTTTTTACATTTTGAACATTGTTAGCAAAACACGATCTTACTTTAACTGAGCTATTCGCCGCCTTGGTTTTAAAACATTGGTAAAGGGTATCTCGAATCATACACATTCACGTGACTAAAGTATATTCTGAAACATTTCCGGAACCTGTTTTGGGGTTGTTTTTACATTTTAGTGGGGAATGGTCATGAGATAACCTTGTAACACAAAGTTATTTCAAGTCGTTGTGACAACGTCCATGGCAGTACACAGAATAACGTTGCAGGGACACATTATTATAAACATTGCCACAATGTAAAATACAACATTACCACAAAGTCAAATACAACGTTCCCTCAACATAAAAATACAACGTAAAATACAATGTTATCACAACGTTGTGACGACGTGAATATGACGTAACACAACGTTAGGCCATGACGTTGTGACCACATAAATGGGAGTCCACAGAATAACGTTATTTATCATATAATGGGTAGGTTTCTCGGCAGGATAAAGCCAACGGATAAAAACGATATCCGTTGGGGTCATATGCGGATAGAGATGCAAATTTCAAAGGTCAAGTTAGGACTTCTTTCAGTGTTTATAAACAACATGGCGTCGCCCTCGTCATTCGGCGATCGAGTCAGAATTAACCATCAGGAATCTGGATAAACTACAGGGATAATTGCTATCATTATCAAAAGAACAGACTAATATACTGAAAATCAGTGTCTAACTGTGACGTAGCTAAGGCATTTTATAAGTTTTGGCAACTTTGGAGATATAAATTTCGAAACAATTTTGCGAGGGCACGAGGCCTAGCCAAACGGGATCAGTAGCCATATCTGTGCTTGTAGACCTCTGCGGCCTGAAAACTTCTCCACAAATTAAAAAAGTTGGATTTGGCTGAAATATGTTTGAATTGTTACCTTGTTTCGTTTTGTCGCTGTGTGCACATCTGACTACACTTCTTAACATTATGATAGGAGAGGCCGACTGTCAACAACGTCTGACCGTGGCCGTGACGTCTCACAGACTAGGGTTAGAGTAGCTTCCCTTTGACAAAGGGCAGTTACTCTAGCGGACAGACCAATGGATGGCCGCGAAAGGCAATTGAAAACAATTGTTGTTTTGCGTATATGTTGCTTCGCCACTAAAGAAACAGATTTCAGTTGGAACTATATTGGCTACTGTCAATGTCCGACTGACACATCACTTAAACTGTGACGTCATAAATATTATTGCGCGCAATCCAGGAAAACTCGCAATGTTTCGGTAATGTTTGTGAGAGAGGGAAAGCGATTTTCAAGCACAGAATTAAAGACTGACATTATATGATAAAGAGGTTATCACGCTTGTGTGTTTGGGGATGGTAAATATCCTGTATTAGGAATAAACACTATGTATTTAGCTCGCCAAGGCTCGCTAAATACAATGTTTATTCCTAATGCAGGATATTTACCATCCCCAAACACACTCGCGTGATAACCTCTATATGGACGTAATATTCACAACGTTCCCACAACGTGAAATTGTAAGCTGGGTATGGGTTGCTGAAGAACTATTCTCCCCGGCTCTTCACGGGTCACTTCCGCTCGAATCTCCCTCGAAAAGTTATACATTTATGCATTGCTGCTAAATACTTTTGATTAATCAAAAGGGTTTTTGTGTATACGGGCGAAAGTCACTATGAGACTAGACTTCTATGTATTGAGATGTCTATATAGTGTATATTCAATAACTTCGAATTCAAGCTATTTGTCTATCATTCAAATGATACTCACTCGTTTTATGTTATCCTTGCTAGCTGGATGGAAGAACTTCTTCGTCATATAATTGTTGAAACCCTTCCCCATCTTGATGAGTATTTGTACAACAGTCCAGTCAGTAAAATATAGGTCTAGAAATGAAACGATGCTCTGTCGTCAAATTTCCGGAAGTAAATAGTCTGAAAACTCCTCGCAGCGTTGACCCGAGCCTTAGATCTTTAAAAAACACACACACACTGTACAGAGTTTGTATGGTTCAATTGGAAGCGAATGAAAACTATTTTACAACATCTTCTGTTGTGTTTTAATAATATAATTATTTATATGGCAGCATTTCCATCGTCGATGCTGTCATTATGAAACGTGAACATAAATTCGACCTTGACATTTATTGAGCCTAGCAGTCAAAAGCGTCTGCACGGCATTTGTCCGAGGCTATATTTAAAAGCCCAGTAGTTTTAGTGGTTAGTTGGACCTCGTGACCTCTGAACCAAATGCTAAATACTTAGCATGGTATTGCGATACGTATGTCGCATTAGGTACGTTTCCACATCGTTTTTGTTCAACACAGGCTTGCCATGGGCCCAGTAAAGTTGAAATATTTGTAGTCAGAATCAAATCGAAGTAGTCTTGTCGAAATGTCAACAATGACGACATAGTGAAATTACCTGGACGAGGAATACGTATTTTGGTGTTTGTCGAAATACGGTTAGTCTGTTGTAAACTTTCGTCGTCAAACCAATCAGCAGGGCTCCAGATAACTTTTTCAGCAATTGAGTTTTTACTCGAAGGTTTCTGTTTAAATTGGGTTATTTATTACCTTTTTCATTGTGTAACCAATAGTTTTTCACTCATCTATCCATCACTCGATTGGGTTTTTCACAAAATAAGTAAGCATTTTGAGATTTCAAAAAACATGAAATAATGTTTTAGATGTATCTAACAGTTCTAAATACAGGCTTGACCCGGAAACTAAATTAGCTCGTAATTGTGTTTCGGAAAGCTCCACTGGGTATTTACGAGTGCTGTTTTCAAAAATTGAGTTTTTAATTTAATGCAAGCGATTCTGTATGCAAGTTAATTGAAAGTAATTCGGTTTTGAATAGTTTTGGGGGGTATTTTACGCAAACACGCAGCTTATCTGTAGCTATGAATCAGTTCGGTTGAAAAAGCAATCAAGATTCAGAAAACTTGACCGAACAATGACTAGCGTCTCGATCTATAGGGCAACATTTGACAATAATGAAATATTGACTTGTCCTGTTCTGCGTCATTCAGTTTAGTATGTCCTTTGACAGGTGTAGATACAAGCAGACAATACAGCGACATGTAATGATGTCATCCGCTACACCAACTACAGACCATCTTCAGAGAACAGCTGACAATACAAGACAAAAAGTGAGGATTTGCGTAAGATATTGACAGTGTATCGATGAATTTTTGCAGGAGGCAAATGGCATTAGAACATATAATCATGATTTTATCATGTTTTGAAAGGACAATCTTCAATGTCACTCCCAAATTTGAAAAATAATCTACAGATGACAATGTCCTGGAAAATGAACCTATCTGAAATGCTGCATATCAGTGGTATTTAGACCTTATAGCTTAGGCCACACTTCATATTTTGTGATTTGCTCAAGTTGTTTGTTTGTTGTTAACGCCACATTCAGCAATATATAAATAATCAAGGTCGAGACCAGGCAATCTTGTGGGCGACATCATAAGCAATGATCCACACAAACTGGTTGACATGAATCAACCAATGCACTGAGCCTGACCATCCGATTCATTTAGTCGCCTCTTACGACCACCATTGGTTTCTTAGGACCTATATTCAGTTTGCAGTGGATAGAGCGGAAGGTCCAGGGCCCCATTCCACCAAGCGATCTTAGCGATACGTCGATTGTGACTCCCATTCTTTAACACTGACTTACGACAGTCGTAGCGCTAAGATCTCTTTGTGGAACGGGTTTCCGGGCTCCCCAGCCTCGTCATAAAAGATGGTACTTGTTGTTTTCCTTCCTGACACACGACATTAAGGGGCTAAAACAAGGACTGGTTGGCTAGGAGTAGGTATACTGTGTCTGAGTGGGGTATTCATGTTAAACTGCGGCATGATACTCAGTGGACTTTCACTTTAAAACTGGCATGATTTTGAACTAGTACAAGCACACACACACACACACACACACACACACACACACACACACATTTCCATATAGATGCAATAATTTTAAATGAGACATTCAACCCCATTTCAAAATGCCTCATCTTAACTTTGGTTAACAGCTACTAATGGTTGTTTCTTACGAAGTCATTATTAGTAACCTAGTAATCATGGTGATATTATATTCCTTTTCAGGGATAGAAAGGTGGGGAGGGGGTTTTCAAGTGTGACACAGGGCACTGATGAAGATATTAAAGGGGATTGAGTGCACATAATACTAATGTCAACAAGTCACTTGGCTGAGGGTGCAGTTAAAATGTGACTTGGCTGAGGGCGCAGTTAACATGTGACTTGAGTGAGGGTGCAGTTAACATGTAGTGATTTGTCCAAAGGTGCAGTTAACATGTAGTGACTTGTCCGAGGGTACAGTTAAAATGTAGTGACTTGGCTGAGGGTGCAGTTAACATGAAGCGACTTATCCGAGGTTGCATTTAACATGTAGTGACTTTGCTGAGGGTGCAGTTAACATGTGACTTGGCTGAGGGTACAGTTAACATGTGACTTGGCTGAGGGTGCGGTTAACATGTAGTGACTTGGCTGAGGGAGCAGTTAACATGTAGTGACTTGGCTGAGGGCGCAGTTAACATGTAGTGACTTGGCTGAGGGTGCAGTTAACATGTAGTGACTTGGCTGAGGGTGCATTTAACATGTAGTGACTTGTCAGAGGGTGCAGTTAACATGAAGCGACGTGGCTGAGGGTGCAGTCAACATGTAGTGACTTGGCTAAGGGTACAGTTAACATGTAGTGACTTGGCTGAGGGTGCAGTTAACATGTGACTTGGCTCAGGGAGCAGTTAACATGTAGTGACTTGGCTGAGGGTGCAGTTAACATGTGACTTGGCTGAGGGTACAGTTAACATGTGACTTGGCTGAGGGTACAGTTAACATGTGACTTGGCTGAGGGTACAGTTAACATGTAGTGACTTGGCTGAGGGTGCATTTAAAATGTAATGACTTGTCTGAGGGAGCAGTTACCATGTGACTTGGCTGAGGGTACAGTTAACATGTAGTGACTTGGCTGAGGGTACAGTTAACATGTAGTGACTTGGCTGAGGGTGCATTTAAAATGTAGTGACTTGTCTGAGGGAGCAGTTAACATGTAGTGACTTGTCTGAGGGAGCAGTTAACATGTGACTTGGCTGAGGGTACAGTTAACATGTAGTGACTTGGCTGAGGGTACAGTTAACATGTAGTGACTTGGCTGAGGGTGCATTTAACATGTAGTGACTTGTCTGAGGGAGCAGTTACCATGTGACTTGGCTGAGGGTACAGTTAACATGTAGTGACTTGTCTGAGGGAACAGTTAACATGTGACTTGGCTGAGGGTACAGTTAACATGTAGTGACTTGGCTGAGGGAGCAATTAACATGTAGTGACTTGGCTGAGGGAGCAATTAACATGTAGTGACTTGTCTGAGGGAGCAGTTAACATGTGACTTGGCTGAGGGTACAGTTAACATGTAGTGACTTGGCTGAGGGTACAGTTAACATGTAGTGACTTGTCTGAGGGAGCAGTTAACATGTGACTTGGCTGAGGGTACAGTTAACATGTAGTGACTTGGCTGAGGGTACAGTTAACATGTAGTGACTTGGCTGAGGGTGCATTTAAAATGTAGTGACTTGTCTGAGGGAGCAGTTAACATGTAGTGACTTGTCTGAGGGAGCAGTTAACATGTGACTTGGCTGAGGGTACAGTTAACATGTAGTGACTTGGCTGAGGGTACAGTTAACATGTAGTGACTTGGCTGAGGGTGCATTTAACATGTAGTGACTTGTCTGAGGGAGCAGTTACCATGTGACTTGGCTGAGGGTACAGTTAACATGTAGTGACTTGTCTGAGGGAGCAATTAACATGTAGTGACTTGTCTGAGGGAGCAGTTAACATGTGACTTGGCTGAGGGTACAGTTAACATGTAGGGACTTGTCTGAGGGAGCAGTTAACATGTGACTTGGCTGAGGGTACAGTTAACATGTAGTGACTTGGCTGAGGGTACAGTTAACATGTGACTTGGCTGAGGGTGCATTTAACATGTAGTGACTTGTCTGAGGGAGCAGTTACCATGTGACTTGGCTGAGGGTACAGTTAACATGTAGTGACTTGTCTGAGGGAACAGTTAACATGTGACTTGGCTGAGGGTACAGTTAACATGTAGTGACTTGTCTGAGGGAGCAATTAACATGTAGTGACTTGTCTGAGGGAGCAGTTAACATGTGACTTGGCTGAGGGTACAGTTAACATGTAGTGACTTGTCTGAGGGAGCAGTTAACATGTGACTTGGCTGAGGGTACAGTTAACATGTAGTGACTTGGCTGAGGGAGCAGTTGATATGTAGTGACTTGGCTGAGGGAGCAGTTACCATGTGACTTGGCTGAGGGTACAGTTAACATGTAGTGACTTGTCTGAGGGAGCAGTTAACATGTGACTTGGCTGAGGGTACAGTTAACATGTGACTTGGCTGAGGGTACAGTTAACATGTAGTGACTTGGCTGAGGGTGCATTTAACATGTAGTGACTTGTCTGAGGGAGCAGTTAACATGTAGTGACTTGTCTGAGGGAGCAGTTACCATGTGACTTGGCTGAGGGTACAGTTAACATGTAGTGACTTGGCTGAGGGTACAGTTAACATGTAGTGACTTGGCTGAGGGTGCATTTAAAATGTAGTGACTTGTCTGAGGGAGCAGTTAACATGTAGTGACTTGTCTGAGGGAGCAGTTAACATGTGACTTGGCTGAGGGTACAGTTAACATGTAGTGACTTGGCTGAGGGTACAGTTAACATGTAGTGACTTGGCTGAGGGTGCATTTAACATGTAGTGACTTGGCTGAGGGTACAGTTAACATGTAGTGACTTGGCTGAGGGTACAGTTAACATGTAGTGACTTGTCTGAGGGAGCAGTTAACATTTGACTTGGCTGAGGGTACAGTTAACATGTAGTGACTTGGCTGAGGGTACAGTTAACATGTAGTGACTTGGCTGAGGGTGCATTTAAAATGTAGTGACTTGTCTGAGGGAGCAATTAACATGTAGTGACTTGTCTGAGGGAGCAGTTAACATGTGACTTGGCTGAGGGTACAGTTAACATGTAGTGACTTGTCTGAGGGAGCAGTTAACATGTGACTTGGCTGAGGGTACAGTTAACATGTAGTGACTTGGCTGAGGGTACAGTTAACATGTAGTGACTTGGCTGAGGGTGCATTTAACATGTAGTGACTTGTCTGAGGGAGCAGTTAACATGTAGTGACTTGTCTGAGGGAGCAGTTACCATGTGACTTGGCTGAGGGCACAGTTAACATGTAGTGACTTGTCTGAGGGAGCAGTTAAAATGTGACTTGGCTGAGGGTACAGTTAACATGTAGTGACTTGTCTGAGGGAGCAGTTAACATGTGACTTGGCTGAGGGTACAGTTAACATGTGACTTGGCTGAGGGTACAGTTAACATGTAGTGACTTCACTGATGATACAGTTGACATGTGTCTTGGCTGAGGGAGCAGTTAACATGTAGTGACTTGGCTGAGGGTACAGTTAACATGTAGTGACTTCACTGAGGATACAGTTGACATGTGTCTTGGCTGAGGATACAGTTGACATGTGTCTTGGCTGAGGGTACAGTTAACATGTGACTTGGCTGAGGGTACAGTTAACATGTAGTGACTTCACTGAGGATACAGTTGACATGTGTCTTGGCTGAGGGAGCAGTTAACATGTAGTGACTTGGCTGAGGGTACAGTTAACATGTAGTGACTTCACTGAGGATACAGTTGACATGTGTCTTGGCTGAGGATACAGTTGACATGTGTCTTGGCTGAGGATACAGTTGACATGTGTCTTGGCTGAGGATACAGTTGACATGTGTCTTGGCTGAGGATACAGTTGACATGTGTCTTGGCTGAGGATACAGTTGACATGTGTCTTGGCTGAGGATACAGTTGACATGTGTCTTGGCTGAGGATACAGTTGACATGTGTCTTGGCTGAGGATACAGTTGACATGTGTCTTGGCTGAGGATACAGTTGACATGTGACTTGGCTGAGGGAGCAGTTACCATGTAGTGACTTGGCTGAGGGAGCAGTTACCATGTAAGGTGTCAGAAATGAAGAAAGGCTGCACACACCCCTGCACCCTCCCTCTGGATCCACCAGTGTGTTTCAAAGAAACATTATAATATTATTAATGTCTTCATTTAGCATGTCCATATATTATTGGTTTTCCATGTGTTTGTCAGGTTTATATGTGCGTAGTACATTTCTCACAGGCTAAACATAGTTAATATCATCAAAAGGGAGAAAAATCAGTGATTTCTTACCATGTCAATTTGGCACGAGTACCCTGCCATTGTTAATTTAGTAGTACCATTCATTGGCACTTTTATTTAATACAAGGAATTTCAAAACCTGCATTTGCAATGCATGACCAAGTAAAGTCTTCAGCTTCACTATTCATTGCTCATTATTTTCCGTTCCGGCTAGTCCTTGCTGTAGCCGCAAATGAAGCAATTCTGAATCTCACTGGGGCTCCTTTTCAATTTTAATGGAGTTGTTTGTTTCTATAAAACTTACATGTTTTCGGGGACGAAGTGTTTGTGTAATCGACTTAGTTGAAAGTTGAGTAAATTCATTGGCAACTTTTCAGTTTAATCAGCGGTAGAACCTAACATTTTCAGTCCACTAGTCCTTATAATGATAACATATAGCAAGACCTTTAAAAATTCCAAATTTCTACTAGTCCTTAGGATACCTTAACTCTTGTTCAGTTTGGCAAGGACTCTAGGACAAGTGCCAATTTCTAACACTGATATTTACTCAGAATAGAAAAGAATGGTTTCTGAACAAATGCGACAATGTACTCATGGCACAAGACTAACATATAATCTATGAAATATTTTCTTACACAATACATTTCTCTCTTCAAAAATTTAAAAATACAAAATATTCACTAATGCTGATTGGAAGACTTGCATTTATTCAAATCTAAATGTTGTTTTTATAGATTCATGTATTCCCGTGATGGTGCAGGTCTATCACAGTACTTTTTATTCCCAGGTGATGTCTCCTGCCACTGTGATGAACATCCAAGACGAGTCAAGCACTGTCAAAAGTCTGGACCTGAAGATCCATAATGAAGACTTCAGCTTTAAGGCAGGTCAGTGGTGAGTACCTACATCCGGGGACTGATGATTAGGGACTTCAGCTTGAAGGCAGGTCAGTGATGAGTACCTACATCTAGGGACTGATGATTAGGGACTTCAGCTTGAAGGCAGGTCAGTGATGAGAACTTGACATCTAGATACTGGTGATTAGGGACTTCAGCTTGAAGGCAGGTCAGTGATGAGTACTTGACATCTAGATACTGATGATTAGGGACTTCAGCTTGAAGGCAGGTCAGTGATGAGTACTTGACATCTAGATACTGGTGATTAGGGACTTCAGCTTGAAGGCAGGTCAGTGATGAGTACTTGACATCTAGATACTGATGATTAGGGACTTCAGCGTGAAGCAGGTCAGTGGAGAGTACTTACATCTAGGGACTGGAGGGGGCACGGGTGGCCCAGTCGTCTAAGGCGCCGCGATTCGCTGTGCAGAGTTGCGTCCCTTGGGCACGCCAGAAACCTATGATTGTGCGTTCGAATCCCGGTTCGCCCTGATTATGTTTCTAGGTTTGTCAGCCATACCCGTGCTCGTGGGTTTCACTGAAGTGGTAAACGTCTGAGACCTGCATCACTTCGGGCTTTCCTCCCACATAAAGCTGACACGCCGCGATATAACTGGAATACTGTTAAAAGCGGCGTTAAACCAAACTCACTCACTCACTCTAGGGACTGGTGATCAGGGACTTCAGCTTTAATACAGGTCAGTGGTGATGGCTTGTTGTGTGTGTGTGTGTGTGTGGGGGGGGGGTGAGATACATTGATGAGCCCAATCTCACCTGGCCCCCTCCCCTATAAAGTCCCTTAACCTTGAACACTTGAACAATTGTCAGTTGGTGTAAAGCAGTCTGCAGAAAGAGATTTGTCAGTGTATATTCCTGAACTGTATATGCCAGTGCCATTCACAGACAATGTCCACATCTAGAAGGATCTTGTTTCGTAATAAAACTGTCAGCAGGTCCTTAACGTGTGGTCAGCAGACATCCCAGAGTCCCTCACCTATCGCGGAGCTTGACACACGGCAGTATCATATACCTGTCAACAAACAAATCAGGTGTCTACCAGTACACGAGCAACTCAGTGAAAAATCAGGTGTCTACCAGTACAAGAGTAACTCAGTGTAAAATCAGGTGTCTACCAGTACACGAGCAACTCAGTGTAAACTCAGGTGTCTACCAGTACAAGAGGAGCTCAGTGTAAACTCAGGTGTCTACCAGTACAAGAGTAACTCAGTGTAAAATCAGGTGTCTACCAGTACACGAGGAGCTCAGTGTAAACTCAGGTGTCTACCAGTACAAGAGGAGCTCAGTGTAAACTCAGGTGTCTACCAGTACAAGAGGAGCTCAGTGTAAACTCAGGTGTCTACCAGTACACGAGGAGCTCAGTGTAAACTCAGGTGTCTACCAGTACAAGAGGAGCTCAGTGTAAACTCAGGTGTCTACCAGTACAAGAGGATCTCTATGTAAAATCAGGTGTCTAATAGTGCAAGAGGATCTCTGTGTAAAATCAGGTGTCTACCAGTACAAGAGGAAAATCACAAATTGTATTCAACCTGTGAAGATTCGGGGTAGAATAAGTCTTCAGCAACCCATGCTTGCCGTAAAAGGCAACTATGCTTGTCGTAAGAGGCGACTAACGGGATCGGGTGGTCAGGCTCGCTGACTTGATTGATGCATGTCATCGTATCCCAATTGCCTGGATCGATGCTCATAATAATCACTGGATTGTCTGGTCCAGACTCGATTATTTACAGACCACAGTTATATAGCTGGAATATTGCTGAGGGTGGCGTTAAACAACAAACCAACCAACCAACAAACAAACTATATTCACTTGAAAATTCAACACTCTTGTAGAAATAACCTGTCTGACTGACTGTGGCCATCAGACCAAACAAAACAACATTATCTAGTAGAACATCATCTTCCCGAGGCAAAGGAGTTAACTGACTATAAAAGTCCAGTTTCCACCCTTGCCGAACTAGGCTGGTATTATGGAGTTACGTTTTGTCTGGACTAACAAGTCTATGCATAGTCCAATCAAAATCGCACACCGAAATCCAAATCTGGTTCGTAAACTGTCGTGCAGATTTCGATCGATTGCAGGATTTGCAAAGCATGTGCATCGCCAATTCGTTGTCAGCAGATATGTTTTTAATCAAGGTGCTCACGTGATTTGATGCATTTCGCTATGTAAGACCTGTTTTATCACAATATAGATCTTGATTATGAATCAGATCGTCCTGAGTGGGCGCCACTATTTTGTGTGAAGCAAATGCAAGTGATATGAGAGGTGGAATCTGATTGGTCCGTACGGTAGGAGAGGCTTAGAAGGGATATAATTGCTAATAGCCACTGGTGGCACGACGTTCGAGCCCAGTAATTCCAGCCTATTTCGGCAAGGGTGGAAACTGGACTTTTAAAGTCAGTTAACTCCCTTGCCTCGGGAAGATGGTAGAACATCTACTAAACAGGATCTGAAGGGTAGTTGACACCAGAAATGGGCTTCACACATTGTATTCATTTGGGGAATCAAACCTGGGTCTACAATGTGGAAGGTGAATGTGTTAACCAATAGGCTACCCCAAAAGACATTTTTGGAAAGAGCTTTTGACTGACATAGTAAACTCTTTTTTACAGGTCTCACAGGATATTTGAATATTGATATTGTTACACACCTATAATGTCTTTGACCATGATATGGTGTTGTGTTCAGGGTGGATAGCCACATCCCTGGTGTAGATACAGTAGGGGGCTTCTCCATGTGGTCGTCACCGGGTCGCTAACACTGTTTTTACCATGATATGGTGTTGTGTTCAGGGTGGATAGCCACATCCCTGGTGTAGATACAGTAGGGGGCTTCTCCATGTGGTCGTCACCGGGTCGCTAACACTGTTTTTACCATGATATGGTGTTGTGTTCAGGGTGGATAGCCACATCCCTGGTGTAGATACAGTAGGGGGCTTCTCCATGTGGTCGTCACCGGGTCTGCTACATAGGGACGGGATGCTGCAACTGGCCGTCAAACGCAGCCCTCATCCACCTGCACACTGGGTGCATACAAAGGTCAGAATTTTTTTTAGCTTTGGAAGTGACATAATTTCTCAATTTATGAATTAAAAAACTAATACATAGCAGTAGAAGCTAACCTGAAATCTTACTGGCCTGGACAGGAATAACACATAAGAACACCAAAAATCAGCCTCAAATTCTAACAGTCTTCAGAATAACTCTATCATTATCTCAGTGGGACTAACTGGGTAGTACAAAAGTCAGTTGCTGATTAATCTTTGATCAAAGTGATCAGAAATTTTATCAGTGATGAACAGACATTGGCGGCAGCCATAAACTTTTTATATTTTGACTTCTTTTCTGAAATGACTCAACGGATTCATCTGAAATTTGTGTGGATGTGTGTTACTTCAAGGGATTAAGTGTCTTCAAGGGATCAAAACTGGAATTTCAATATGGCCGCCAGATAGCCATTTTTGACTTGGAAACATAAGATTAAAAAGATCTTCTTCGCAAAAACTTAAAGGGCATGAGACTTGAAACTTTGTGAGACGATCACCTTATGTAGTACTCAGTTCGATTCAAGGCATCTTGATCGTAAATCAAATATGGCTGCCAATGGCCTTATTAAAAAATGCAAAGCATTCTGAGTCATTGGTCATAAACATCTCCTCTTGATTGCACATTCTGATCAACATGATCCAATTTAATCATTTATGTACAGAGTCTGTATTTAGCAATTACCAATCAGTATCAGTGTAATAAACTTCCATTGAACTAATTCTGTTTTCGGTCTGACATACCAATATTTATTTATGCATCTACCGGTATGCTTGGCTCATGTTTACCAGTGCAAGGTGGGGGCTCAAGTGGACCTGCGTGTGGGTGGCGACTACTTCTATGACCCTCAGCCAGGCGAAGAGCCTCCCACAAACCTGCTGCTGGTAGCGGGTGGGGTCGGGATCAACCCCCTCATGAGTATGCTGAGCCACGTTCATGATCTGCAGCAGATGGCGACGACACGCAGCATGTGCCCAAACAAGGTCATCCTCATGTTCAGTGCCAAAACCAAGGAGGAACTTTTGTTTAGGGTATGGTGACAGTTTGCATTTACTTTCAGGTCTGGTTTTAAAGTTAGTACCTGTATTAAATTTTTTTAAATTGAAATTATTCTCACAGTTCAACTGAAAATAGAATGGGATTTAGTGTGCAATCTGTATTTCCTCTATTAGACACCAGGGCCCACTTGCACAAAGCGATCTTAGCGCAAAGATGATCTTAACTCCCATACTTTAACACAGGCTTAAAATAGTCTTAGCGCTAAGATCATTTTGTGCACGTGGCCCCAGGGCATTTATTAATTTTGTGCAAGCCGTTGACCCGGCTTCTCTTTGAGGCCTGTTGTCTATTTTGTTTAAAGCTGGCACAGTGGCAACTCACTTCCTTGCCGAATCCAAAATTTGACAGTCATACAAAGCGTACATTTGCAGAAAACTGTCAGTTGGATCTGTGGATTGCACTTCAGACTGCAGTCAAATAAATGTACAGATTGTTTCATCCTGTGTTCCAGGTGTAATTTTAGACATAAGCAATACAGAACCTGGTGTAAAATGGGAATTAATTCACGTTTTGTTTGATATGAAATGCCTTATCTTTGACGACTGAACATTTAGTCTATGATTCCTGTGTACACCACTTCATAGTGACGTTAGATTGACTTATATCTTGTTTTATTATGCCTCAAAGTGAGATTGACCCATGAGAGCAGAACTACAGACACCACACGAGCCCGTATACGTCATTAAAAATATAAGATGGTTGTTACTGACCAAATGTGAGACTGTATGCCAGTAACAGCCATCTTGGATTTTCACACATCCACCTCATATATTTCACATACAAATTCTGGTACATTGGTTATTCAACACTGTTTGTGTTTTTATATAATTAATTGTGATGTGCAAGGACAGATATTTTAAACAAAAATCCCGTTCGTGACTTTATTGATAAAGACTATAGTTAAATATTTCCACAAGGTTTGCATGCTGAGGTTTGAAGAGTAGTCTCCCTTTGATCCTAAACTTAAGGGTTGTTGTTGTGAAGTTTTTAGTTTGACATGATATGTGCAATAAAGACACCAAATAGTGAAAGCATTTCGGCATAATAAATTTGTGGTGGTGTCTTTAGTTGCTGTACCTGGTATCATATTAAGTGAGCAGAATAATATTGGGCGAGGCGCTAATAAAACAAAATGAAACAAATGACAGTTGGACAGTGAACACAAGACCAAGCCAGGAGAAGTGTAAGTATAGTGTGGGAGGAAAGCCCGAAGTGATGCAGGTCTCACTCCGCTGAAACCCACAAGCACGGGTATGGTGCTGACAAACCTAGAAACATAATCCGGGCGAACCAGGATTCGAACCCACATTCGTTGGTTTCTGGCGTGCCAATGGGAAGCATCTCTTCACAGTGAATCTAAGTGACTGGACCACCCGTGATTATTTAATGTGGAAGTTCCCCTGATAATGACTATTTAGACATCATGTTCGTGTATCACTTTAAGGAAAATACTATTGCTGTAATAGTATGTGTGAAGTAATACAAATTGACCATTCAGCATTGAGACAGCTATGTATGTTTAGTGAAATATATTTTGAGATCTTTTAATGATCCAGGTGTAAGGAACTTTTCTTGATAGTTCAGATTCCTGATACCCAGTACTGATATTTCATTTGTTTTTCAGAAAAGAATTGATGAATTATGCAATATGAAGTCAAACAACATGTCATCAATGTATTTCATCACAGAGGAGACAGCTGGGAAAGGAGACAACACTGTTTGTAAGTTCGCTTTGTCTGTTAACATGGTTGACATGGTTAACATAATATTAAAGACTTTTTATCCCTTGAGTAACTTGGCCATACCTTGAGTAACTGGGCCATCCCTTGAGTAACTGGGTCGTCCATTGAGTAACTGGGTCATCCATTGAGTAACTGGGTCATCCCTTGAGTAACTGGGTCGTCCCTTGAGTATCTGGGCCATCCCTTGAGTAGCTGGGCCAAACCTTCAGTAACTGGGCCATCCCTTAAATAACTGGGCCATCCCTTGAGTAACTGGGTCATCCCTTGAGTAACTGGGTCGTCCCTTGAGTATCTGGGCCATCCCTTGAGTAACTGGGCCATCCCTTGAGTAACTGGGTCACTCGAGTAACTGGGTCATCCCTTGAGTAACTGGGCCATCCCTTGAGTAACAGGGCCAAACCTTCAGTAACTGGGTCATCCCTTGAGTAACTGGGCCATCCCTTGAGTAACTGGGTCATCCCTTGAGTAACTGGGTCGTCCCTTGAGTATCTGGGCCATCCCTTGACTAACTTGGCCATCCCTTGAGTACCTGGACCATCCCTTGATTAACTTGGCCATCCCTTGAGTACCTGGACCATCCCTTGAGTAACTTGGCCATCCCTTTAACTGGGCAATCCCTTGAGTAACTGGGCAAACCCTTGAGTAGCTGGGTCATCCCATGATTTTACTGGGCCCAACCCTGAGTATCTGGACCATCCCTTGAATAACTGGGCCATCCCTTGAGTTACTTGGTCATCCCTTGAGTAACTGGGTCATCCCTTGAGTAACTGGGCCATCCCTTTAACTGGGCCATCCCTTGAGTAGCTGGGTCATCCCATGATTTTACTGGGCCCACCCTTGAATAACTGGACCATCCCTTGAGTAGCTGGGCCATCCCTTGAGTTACTTGGTCATCCCTTGAGTCTGGCCATGTCTGGCACTCAGCATAAAGGGTGTAAAACAAGGACTGGTCGGCTCGGAGTCGGTATACTGTGTCTGAGTGGGGTATTCATGTTAAATTGCAGCATGGTATTTCAGTGAGCTATCACTATAAATCAGCATCAGTCCCGAGTAGTACGCACGCACGCACGCACACACACACCAACATCGCTATATAAGTGCAATATTCTGAGATGTGACTGTAAACCCAATTTCAGCAAATCTAGTAAATATTGAGACACCATCAGTTCACCAATCGTCAGTGATTGCTGTTGAATGTAATTAAATAAGGTAACAAGTTACGGCATTTCATTATTTTACGTAACTGTCGGCTCATGAAGAATGCTGATTCAGCAGATACATGTGCGTGTATGTTCTCCTTACTGAAGGAGGTCGGTGTCCAAGCTAAATCTGTCTATACATGTGGTTGTAGGTTTAAGTTTATTCTGGATTTGAAAGAAAAACTAGCAAAACCATCAACCTACAAGGATGATTGAATTTTATTACAAACTGAGCCAATATTTACAATCATAATATTTGTACAAACTTCTCTAGAGCAAAATTAGGACATTTCTACACTGCAAGCTGAGTGGCAATACATGGATGGTCAGTGTTAGCTCTTCGTGTCAGAAAAAGATGGGAAGTTTGTAAAATCATCATTTCACAGATATTCCTGTCTTTTCAAGACGAAAAGCTCCGCCTCGCTCTCATATTATATATTCAGATTAAATAATGGAAAAATAATTTTCTCTCAGAGAAAATTTGAGAAAACTGACTTAACTGTTAATATGGTGCCTCAGCACTGTAGCTCACCTGCATATGTAGGCAACAGGTTCAAATGTTGACAACCACTTCACAATTGTTAAGCAATACTGTTGAAATATATTCAGCATAAATACAAAATAAGCACAAATGTATTGACTAAATGTTTACAGTGTTCCCAAGTCTGCAAGAATGAATGTTCTATAGTAGAACATAGTTGCAATACACAATCAATAAATTTCCTTCAGAACACATAACACACAGCTTAATCAGTGAGGATGTTTAACTGTTTGAAGATACTTGGCTAGTGTAGGATGTCCTCCCATCTGAGCTACACATTCAATGTCCTCATTACTGTCTGTTAGAAGTGTGAGGTCAGCTTTGTGCTGCACAAGGAGGTCAACAACATCTTGATGTCCATGGAATACAGCTTTCATCACAGGTGTGTATCCTTCACTCCCTCTGCTGTTGATGTTAGATGGAGACAGGACATGTTGTTTGAAGATACTTGGCTAGTGTAGGATGTCCTCCCATCTGAGCTACACATTCAATGTCCTCATTACTGTCTGTTAGAAGTGTGAGGTCAGCTTTGTGCTGCACAAGGAGGTCAACAACATCTTGATGTCCATGGAATACAGCTTTCATCACAGGTGTGTATCCTTCACTCCCTCTGCTGTTGATGTTAGATGGAGACAGGACATGTTGTACTATAGCAGTGTTCCCACCCTGACAGGCAAGATGAAGTAAACTATCACCATCTGTATCCACCAGTGTGAGGTCAGCTTGGTTGGACATAAGGAGGTCAAACACACTTTGATGTCCATTGACAGCTGCCTTCATTGCTGCTGTCCATCCATATCTGCCTGTACTGTTGATGTTAGATGGAGACAGGACATGTTTTACTATAGCAGTGTTCCCACCACCACCACAGGCAAGATGAAGTAAACTGTCACCATATGTATCCATCAGTGTGAGGTCAGCTTGGTTGGACACTAGGAGGTCAAACACACTTTGATGTCCACTGACAGCTGCCATCATTACTGGTGTATGTCCATGCATCCCTCTGCTGTTGATGTTAGATGGAGACAGGACATGTTGTACTATAGCAGTGTTCCCACCCTGACAGGCAAGATGAAGTAAACTATTACCATCTGTATCCACCAGTGTGAGGTCAGCTTGGTTGGACACTAGGAGGTCAAACACACTTTGATGTCCAGTGACAGCTGCCTGCATCACTGCTGTCCATCCATGTCTGCCTCTACTGTTGATGTTAGATGGAGACAGGACATGTTGTACTATAGCAGTGTTCCCACCACGACAGGCAAGATGAAGTAAACTGTCACCATATGTATCCATCAGTGTGAGGTCAGCTTGGTTGGACACTAGGAGGTCAAACACACTTTGATGTCCACTGACAGCTGCCCTCATTGCTGCTGTCCATCCATACTCCCCTCTACTGTTGATGTTAGATGGAGACAGGACATGTTGTACTATAGCAGTGTTCCCACCACGACAGGCAAGATGAAGTAAACTGTCACCATCTGTATCCACCAGTGTGAGGTCAGCTTGGTTGCACACAAGGAGGTCAAACACACTTTGATGTCCATAGTCAGCTGCATTCATTGCTGCTGTCCATCCATACTCCCCTCTACTGTTGATGTTAGAAGTTGTCAGGACATGTTTTACAATAGCAGTGTTCCCACCCTTACTGGCAAGATGAAGTAAACTATCACCATCTGTATCCACCAGTGTGAGGTCAGCTTGGTTGGACATAAGGAGGTCAAACACACTTTGATGTCCATTGACAGCTGCCTTCATTGCTGCTGTCCATCCATATCTGCCTGTACTGTTGATGTTAGATGGAGACAGGACATGTTTTACTATAGCAGTGTTCCCACCACCACCACAGGCAAGATGAAGTAAACTGTCACCATATGTATCCATCAGTGTGAGGTCAGCTTGGTTGGACACTAGGAGGTCAAACACACTTTGATGTTCAGTGACAGCTGCCATCATTACTGGTGTATGTCCATGCATCCCTCTGCTGTTGATGTTAGATGGAGACAGGACATGTTGTACTATAGCAGTGTTCCCACCCTGACAGGCAAGATGAAGTAAACTACTACCATCTGTATCCACCAGTGTGAGGTCAGCTTGGTTGGACACTAGGAGGTCAAACACACTTTGATGTCCACTGACAGCTGCCTGAATCACTGCTGTCCATCCATGTCTGCCTCTACTGTTGATGTTAGATGGAGACAGGACATGTTGTACTATAGCAGTGTTCCCACCCTGACAGGCAAGATGAAGTAAACTACTACCATCTGTATCCACCAGTGTGAGGTCAGCTTGGTTGGACACTAGGAGGTCAAACACACTTTGATGTCCACTGACAGCTGCCTTCATTGCTGCTGTCCATCCATACTCCCCTCTACTGTTGATGTTAGATGGAGACAGGACATGTTGTACTATAGCAGTGTTCCCACCACGACAGGCAAGATGAAGTAAACTGTCACCATATGTATCCACCAGTGTGAGGTCAGCTTGGTTGCACACAAGGAGGTCAAACACACTTTGATGTCCACTGTCAGCTGCATTCATTGCTGCTGTCCATCCATACTCCCCTATACTGTTGATGTTAGAAGTTGTCAGGACATGTTTTACAATAGCAGTGTTCCCACCACGACAGGCAAGATGAAGTAAACTGTTACCATTTGTAGCCACCAGTGTGAGGTCAGCTTGGTTGGACACTAGGAGGTCAAACACACTTTGATGTCCACTGACAGCTGCCATCATTACTGGTGTATGTCCATGCATCCCGCTGCTGTTGATGTTAGATGGAGACAGGACATGTTGTACTATAGCAGTGTTCCCACCCTGACAGGCAAGATGAAGTAAACTATCACCATCTGTATCCACCAGTGTGAGGTCAGCTTGGTTGGACACTAGGAGGTCAAACACACTTTGATGTCCAGTGACAGCTGCCTGCATCACTGCTGTCCATCCATACTCCCCTCTGCTGTTGATGTTAGATGGAGACAGGACATGTTGTAGTATAGCAGTGTTCCCACCCTGACAGGCAAGATGAAGTAAACTGTCACCATCTGTATCCACCAGTGTGAGGTCAGCTTGGTTGGACACAAGGAGGTCAAACACACTTTGATGTCCATTGACAGCTGCCTGCATTGCTGCTGTCCATCCATGTCTGCCTCTACTATTTATATTAGATGGAGACATGACATGTTGTACTATAGCAGTGTTCCCACCACGACAGGCAAGATGAATAATTCCACTGCCATGTTTATCTTTCACATTCAAATTTGATGTTGTCTGCAGTAACTTAAAACATCCCTCTGATCCCGTGTGTGCTGCAACCATGACAGGGGTCCTGCCATTCACATCAACAGAGTTTATAACATTATTCCCAGGTTTCCTGGTTAACAGGACTTTCAGGTTTTTTTCAATTCCTGATTTACAGACAAGATGGAAGATGGTTTGCATGTTTTTGTCACTTGTGTTAATATCAGCGCCTTCCTGCAGCAGATACACTAGTATGTCAGAGCTGCCACTTTCAGCAGCTGCCAACAAAAGTCTGTTCAGTGTCAACTGATGGTCATGTTTCTCACTCCTGCTGAACAGCCATTTCAATGCTGTCACATTGTTGCTTTGTGCACATCCTTCCATGGCCTCACTGATTTCTCCTTGAGTGAACTCTTCTCCAGTTGTGTGTTCTATACCTGTAATTAGACGTGCATTATGTCCAAGAACTGCCCAGTACAGAAAACATTGTCCTTTCTCTTTCTTGTGAAACCAAAGATGTTTTGTCCGATCACAATGAAGTTTCTCGAGCAGCTTGAAAACTGTGGCGTCTTGTTTGAGAATTGGATGTGTCACTGATTTTGAAAACTGTCCTTGTTTAATAGACTGTGTAAACCTTGTGGTAAGTAGGTCATCATAATTCTCTGAGACATATATCAAATGGAGATGATCATCAACTTTGGTTTCTTCAACCTTGTCACCTTGTACCCTTTCAAACAGAAAGTCATCACTGCAGTGCTTCAAAACAAAGATTGGACTGATATTATACAAGGCACAGGCACAAGCATCATAGATTGAAGAATGAGCAAAGCCAACAGTGTCTCCTCTTGTGAAGAATGTACCTCTCAAACCTTTAGCTGCTTTGTACATGCCTGAACGTGTAGCGTCAGACATCATCTGTAAAACAGTTTTGACCAGGCTGTCCATTTCCTTATCCTCACCTTCACTGTCTAACTTGCTCAGGTCCAATTTGTCTTCACACAGTAGCATCAGAACCAGAATGGCCGATCGGTCATTTCTCTCTTCAAGCAAACGCTTTAGCTCTAACCTGAGATAAAACAGTGGTTCCTTGAAAAATGATTTTGCATTTTTGTAGAAAGATGAAAATTCAAAACAAAGTTTACAAATAAGAGGGAATCCAAAGATATTTGAACAGATTTCCAGCTCACTGTAATCAGGTATATGTTGCATGGAGCAGTCACCGAGAGCTTTCCTATGTCGTTCAAATATTGTCTTTTTCTCTTTGTCAGAAAGCCAGTATTTATCTTGTGTGGTTAAATCCATTACAGTTTGACCTTTGAACAGTTTGAAACCCTCGTACTGCAGTTTTGCAAGTCCATCATGGAAGTTGTATGACTTTGATGTGAAGACAACACGAATATCTTTTGTTTGAAATTCTGGTTGACTCTGCACTTTCTTTCTGGATTTACCAACAGCATCACTATCTTTTGTTTGAAATTCTGGTTGACTCTGCACTTTCTTTCTGGATTTACCAACAGCATCACTATCTTTTGTTTGAAATTCTGGTTGACTCTGCTCTTTCTTTCTGGATTTACCAACAGCATCACTGCTTTCATGCATTTCTGACTGCAGCTTTTCCGCACTCCCCTTTTGTTCTAAATGGAGGAGAAGGTTGTTTAGAAAGGTTTTCACCTGTGATGTATTCGCAGATAATCCAACAGTACCAAACATGTCATCTACTATGAGGAATACTCTGGGGTGGCTACTAAGACACTGGTCTAAGTCAAACTTCTCAATGTTGTCCACAAACACGACCTCGTAGCCTTTGTCTCTGTACTGTGAACCTAACACCAGAGCCATCGTTGTCTTGCCTTCTCCCGAAGCCCCGCAGATGGTCACATGTCCAAATGCCTTCAATTTTCGTTTCACGTCTTTGTAGGGTTCAGTTGGAAGAAAAATCTTCTTCGCTTCGTCTGTGCGCAAATCAAGGGTACCTGTGGAGGAATGAAAACTATTAACCATCCCAGCAAATACTTGGATGTTAAAATTAAACTACAAAATATTTGCTAACTAAATCTTCTTGTGTTAATTATCAGGGGGAACAGATGTGTTCCTGACTTAGTGTACACAACTACATTCATATTTTATAGCCCTCTTCATTCAGTCTTGTTGATAATGGCAATGTTTGCCATTTTGCCAGTTTCAACCCTCTTCAACAAATTCAACCAAATTTAAATCTTAACTTTTACTCTGATACAATACCTCTCTGTGTTAAGCTCTTACGCCACCTCCATAGGTCACATCATCAGAAAATAAGCACTGATCTGCTCTGAGAACTGTTTAACAGAGTCTGGCACAACATCATTGCCAATACTTCTGGAGTTAGTATACACGACTCCATCACCCATCAGTACATGAGGGTGGCATTTGGGACAAGGGGAATAAGATTCTGATTGATGATCGGCACCACCTTCTCGCTGAGAATGTTAAGAGTCTTGCACAAGATCTAGTAGTTTACTGACCCTTCAGCCATGAACGCTCACCTCTCCCAAGTGTTCCTTGTCCGGCCTGTCCAGTGATGATGTTCAGAGTGTTCGCCACCTGGAAGCCACCTGAAGGATGGTCACCTGTCAACACCAATATATGAGGAATCATCGGTAACCAACATTTGAATTGATCAGATATTCTCTTTACACGTTGAATAACATCATTTAATTTTATTGCAGTGCTCAAGAGTGGAGTGTACATCATTTTGAAGTTTTAGGTTCTTTAGATAATAATCTTATCCCAGCAATAACAATTGCTTTAGACCAAAACATGTAAATCATGAATCAAGTTAATAAGCTACACATGAAGTTCAGCAGATAAGTAATTCTTGAATCATCTTCAACAGGTAATAGCCAAGTTCATTATTACCCGAATGAGAGAAGGGGAGAGAGAGGGATGGGGTTCATTACATTTGATCAAGAAATAATAAATGGTCTTTGAGTTATGCTCCGGAAATAAACCCTGGCCTCATCTATCTGAACCTACAATCAATTTATTGTGATGGAAACCAAACGAAGAAATTTCAAAAACTTCTAAATAGTAAAAGGCACCTGTCAGTTCAAGGTTAGATACTGTGCAACATTTGATCAAGAACTATGGAACAGTCTTTCACAAACAGGCAGACATCAGCGATTCCAATATACCGCTACCACTTCATGGCGGGGATGACAAGTAGGGAGTGTGATATTTGGAAGAATGGACAGACAGTACCGATTCCACTGCCTGGAAGGGATAACACGTATGGAATAAGTAATTTTTGCATGATGATTGCAACAGAAACAAGAAAGAAAGTTAACAAAGGTCACATACCCGCGTTATCCCCGCTGGTCAACAAAAAATAGTAAATAGTTTGTTAATTAATGAAATATACCTGTTGCTTTAAGTCAGAGGAACTGCCCTTTCCTTTGTAACCCCCCATGAGGATGCATCATGTTTGAAATGAACGCATGTTTTTGCAAATATATTTCAATCTAGTGTGGGATAACCAATGGTTAGCACAACATACATTCTTGATGTTTCTTAATGTGTCCATGGAAACGGCAAAAATTAAAAAATTCAGAATCCTCAAACTAGCAAAAGACACAAGTACCCATTGTGGTAAATGTGTGTAGCAAGTTTTGTGCATGGTTAAAAAGTTATTGGCCGTACAAAAGCTCGGACGGAAGGACGGACGGATGGAAGAAAGGACAAACAGATGGAACGCTATGTAACCCCCCCCCCCCCCCCCGATTTACTTTGTAAACGGGGATATAAAAAGGCCAAGTATAAGTCTCATCTTTCCTTGTAGACAAGAAACAGCCACTTTATCAACGTTTCTAGAAGGCCCCAGTAATCATAATATACCACCACACAAAGTGCCTCCACAACCTCATACCAGATCGAAGCACCTTGACATCCATTACACAGCACAACGCAATGTGCCTCTACAACCTCATACCAGATTGAAGCACCTTGACAATCAGTACACACCACCACGCAATATTCCTCCACAACCTCATACCAGACTCAAGCACCTTGACAATCATTACACACCACCACGCAATGTGCCTCCACAACCTCATACCAGATTGAAGCACCTTCACAATCATTGCACACCACTACGTAATGTGCCTCCACAACCTCATACCAGACTCAAGCACCTTGACAATCATTACACACCACCACACAATGTGCCTCTACAACCTCATAACCAGATTGAAGCACCTTGACAATCATTGCACACCACCAAGTAATGTGCCTCTACCACTAACCACTAGTAAATGTGGAATTCTGTATGTAATGAGTCAACAGTTGAATGTTCTTTAAGAAGCATACATTGTTTACCAACTGAATGGTTTTCGAATTCTGACCTGGAAATCAACCCGTTCCCCAATGGAGTCTAGGTCCAACTTCTTTCCATAAAAATTGTAAAAAATAAAAATTCATAAAAAACAAATATCAAAAGGCACCACTTCAGTATGTGCCTGATAGCTTTGTCAAGTTTCGATCAAATACACTGAATGGTTTTCGAATTCTGCCCCTGTAACGAACCCCATCCCCAATTGATTCTATGTCCAACTTCATTCCATAAAAACGTATAAATTTTTTTTTAGAAAAATCCCAAAATATCAAAAGGCACCACTTCAGTATGTGCCTGACAGATTTGTCAAGTTTCAATCAAATACACTGAATGGTTTTCGAATTCTGCCCTGGAAAAGGAAATGATTACGGACGGACAGACAGACTGGCTGATTGCTATTAGAGGTGTAACGATATGTAGCGATACAGTGTTTACTGGTACAAGCTAAGCCAAGTTGATGTCTTTCTGCAATCTAAAAGATGTGACAAGTACAGTTGAAGAAGATATAAGGTGTTTATTTACTGTTATAGCAAATTGTCAGCAATACAGTATGTTTTACTGAAACAACAAACTGGCTTTGAAACTGTTAAACGTATTTCATGGGCGCGCACCCCCCTTTTTATTTCGAAAAAAATCTTTATTTCTGTATAAATTACCACCAAAGACAATAAATAGATCTTACTTGTGCGACCCCCCTTTACAAAAAAGCTGTATCCGCCCATGTATTTCATGTATTTTCTTGAGTATAGCGCGCACCAATGTATAATGCGCACGCCCCTCTAGCGGGTTCAATATTTTGGAAAAAAAGAAATTTGAATATTATGCGCAGAAAAAATTTACATCGTACCCCTTCAGCGAAGTCCGGCAAACAAACGGGTGATGAGAAACTTTGTCAGTACAAGTTCTAAATTTGAGATAAAAAATCACCAGACATGTTGATTTACCGTTTAAATTGTATTTTTTGTTCAGCTAGGCATTGTTTTATATCCAGGGATTAAGATTACCTTGTGTATTTTCTCGTAAACTAAGCCGGACACAGCAATCAGCTGTACATGTACACACGTTTTCTTGGAATCTACTGGTGATTCGGTCAAGACACACCCAATGATATAACTTTACAGTATTTTAATGCAAGGATCGGCAAAAGTTGTATCTGAAACTATTTTTTTATCAGGAATAATATACTCCAATATATTGTTAATTTAGATGCAGCTTTTACTAAACATATTTAAAATATTGGCGGGTATTATGTTTTACATGGAACCAGTCTGACCAGTCACCGTCAAGGCTCCCGTGATCGTGAGAATTACGTGTTGACATAGAATCGTGCAACAAAAACAAATCTGACTTTTAACGAATCAAAGTATGGCATTTATGATATATGTATCCATTCTCTGTCAACAAAAATTCCTTTCAACGCGTCAATAGCGGTAATCTGACCGTGGTTGCTGTTAATAACGGTGAGTTGTGCGATCTTCCGATCACTTCACACACGATTTCGCCGAAATTAATTTAAACAATATTAAAAGGAATTTTGAATAAAATTAATGAAATAAGTTACAAACATGAGTCCAGATATACAAAGAAAACTCTTTTATAGCCAGACAGTGTAATTACATGAATAATTTGCGAACTTCAGTATGGATTTGTTGACATGGTATTTCCGGTGTTACGTGCTCACGGTAATGTCTTTCCATGGGGGGAAAACATCAAAACTCATTAATTCGTGTATAATGCGCAACCCCTTCTACACAGCTGTGTATTTTGGAAAAAAAAGTGCGCACTATACTCAAGAAAATACGGTAGGTAAAACTGTGTTATGAAAATATTGTATGTATCGCGATACATGCTTTCCAAATCGATGCATCGTATCGTGGGCTGTGCATCGGGATACAATACTCTATCGCCGTATCATTACACCACTAATTGCTATATCCCCCTCGCATTATATGCCGGGGATAAAAATGTGCCTCTACAACCTCATACCAGATTGAAGCACCTTGACAATAATTGCACACCTCAACGCAATGTGCCTCTACAACCTCATACCAGATTGAAGCACCTTGACAATAATTGCACACCTCAACGCAATGTGCCTCTACAACCTCATACCAGATTGAAGCACCTTGACAATCATTACACAACACCACACAATGTGCCTCTACAACCACATACCAGATTGAAGCACCACCACACAATGTGCCTCTACAACCTCATACCAGATTGAAGCACCTTGACATTCATTACACACCACCAAGTAATGTGCCTCTACAACCTCATACCAGATCGAAGCACCTTGACAATCATTGCACACCACCACACAATGTGCCTCCACAACCAGATTGAAGCACCTTGACTCCAGCTTACATACTGAGAAACCTACAGGCCCTGGGGAGGATATGTACTAAATTTGAGGATGACTAATCAATGTGTGCATGCGTGCACGTCCGAGCTACATAACACTACTTTATTTTTCCTATATTTTTAAGAGATGGACATAATTCACTTGATGAATCAAATTGTAAATAGCGTTGCTGGGTAAATTATTTTTAAAATGACAAACAGGGTGACATTTAGGGGGGCAACAGTGACACCCACCTGTTCTTAATCTTTTGACTGGTGGCTGGCTCACTGGCTCAAGGTCCTCCTCGGTCTCAGCTGAACCTGCCGATACCAGATGACCTTGGGGTTCCTCGTCTGAACTGACCACGCTGTTTCCAGAGTCATCCTCTGTTGTGAAGATTTCCCCAGCTGAACTTGCCATGTCAACATCAGAAATAGCCAAATGTCCTTGAGGCTCAGAAGTGTCCATGTGACCTTCAGACTGCTCACCAGAGGTTGCCATGTGACCTTCAGACTGCTCACCAGAAGTTGCCATGTGACCTTTAGACTGCTCACCAGAAGTTGCCTTTACCAGATGGTGTCCACAGTCTTCATCTGTACTGGCCATCACAGTTCTCTTCACATCGCCATGCACTATCTGTGAAAATGGAGGGGAATCTAATCAAGCTGTGACAATACGTGAAGCCAGTCCGACATCATTGTGTCATGGGTACTGTAGCTCACCAGCTGTATATCGAGATTGCAGGTCATCATTTCAGTATCCCATTTGGGTTTTCATGGTTAAAACTTTACTTACAACACACTTTTTATAATGTCCTCTGTATTGAGCAGAGAATTCTTTGATTAGGAAAAGGGTTTTGTTGTTTATATTTACAAAAACATTGGTATTTTTCATTCTCACAATGCATCCTCCTATCTCATTTATGAACACTGTCCATGATATAACAAGAGTACCACACGTTCAGAACATTCTTCTTTGATGTAACATTTGAGGAGAATCAAAGAATTTGTGATAACTTCTTTGAAATGACCTCCTAATTTGTTTAATATGCTGACAAAAGAGTAATGACTGCTATGTCATATTCCAAAGTCCTATTTCTCTGGTGTCTACAGACACCCAGAAATATTCACAGTAACTGTCCAAAAAATGAAAGACTATCTCTAAAAAAAATACATTCCACGTCAAACCAAGAATCTTTTTTTTAAATATAACGTATCCTAATATAATTGGTTGATTTACATTAGTTTTTTTTCTTTTTTATGGTATTATTATTGCATGTCTACCAAAGATAAATTCCAGATGAAGCCTTCTCATATAGTAATTATTGTGCATGCAAGGGTTCAGCTTTCTGTCTTGGGATTGCCGAGTGTCAAAATTCATTCATGGTTGTGAAACATACTTGCCAAAGTTCAGCTTCCTCAGTTTTGGAAGTGATGAGTTTAACTGGGCCAAAAATACATTTGAAAGGACATGGTCATAACGTAAGACCATCTCCTTGGTCTAGAGGTAGAGCGTCAGTGGTTCGATCCCTGGCTGTATCCTACCAAAAGACATTAAAAGAAGGTACTTGTCACTCAGCCCGACACAGTAAGGGGCTAAAACAAGGACTGGACAGCTTGGGTCAGTATATTGTTTCTGAGTGGTGTATTCATGTTAAACTGCGGATTGGTATCTAGAGGGTTAGCACTATAAAATCAGCATTAGTCCGGAGTAGTACAACCACACGCACATGCACATACACAATTTGGGACGTGACGTTAAACACCATTTCACCTCACATCAAAATATGAAGGTTAACCAAGGTCAAAATGTACAATATCAGAAAAACAGAACTTTTGAGTGTCTTGGAAGCCACATCAAAAATTGGATTTCAACGTCTTGAACATATTGGGATGTCATCAAGCTTCAATTCAATCAGTGTCACACCAGAGAAGATATTCAGGAAGCACAACAGACAAGGACAAACAGACTGACCTCAAAATGGCGGCCGTGCTCAAAGTTCGATGAACATTTTTGTGAGCACTTTATAGGACTGAGACACAATAGCTTGTATGATTCATGCAAAGTTTCAGATTCATAGGTTTGGCAGAGTAACGACAGATGGACCAACGGCGGCACAACGCTCAAAAAATGAACTCAACATCCAGAGACACTGTCTGAAATCTGCTTGAACATTTCTGTATGCACATGCTTCACTCCGGACGTTTTGTCTGCATGCCTACGTGTCTGTTACACAGACTCCAAATACAGTGTACATATTACCAGCTGATAATATAATACTATACTAAATATACTCACGGAACATTACGTCGCGGAATACGTGGCAAGTCTTCAGCATGTTGAGAAGTGGGAGACTGGTACTTGAAACAGCATCCTGATTGGTCTACCTGTACTTCCGTTGCAGTGCGCGGTAGAGCGAATCCTACTTTCGCTTTCACTTTCAGCATCTTGCTCGATATACATCAACAAGAAGTTCCCGTCCCGTCCTAAATATGATACCATCATATCAATTGTCCTTCTCTTACTGCCATTAAAAGTTTTTTCGTGAGTTCATTTTTCTAAACTGGCTTTTTGCTCGCTGTTCTTAAAGAAAACTGAAAAACGGGAATACCAAAACTATTAATAGCTTCGTCCCGCAGTGTATAGTAATAGTTAATTCCATTGGTTGTTATTACAGATACAGCCTGGTTCCCTTCGTATGCTACGCTGGCGCTACACTATGCCAATATAGTGTTATATAAGAGACGGGACCCAGCTTACACTATGTAGCGCCAGCGCGGCATACCCAGGGAACCAGGCTGTTTCAACTTACTGAATGAAGAGATGGAACCCAGCTTCTGGCCAACACTCCACATTGACTGGTTCCGGTTCGTTCCTGCACGGACCAAAATTATATAGGCCCGTAGTTACTGAGAAGACAAATATCGAGAAAACAAACTAACACGATCAGTAAACGAAAATTGCCAAAACACTTCGCCCCATTTTCCACAAACCTGTTTCCGTGTTTTATCTGTGCCGCATAATCGGCTCATGAAACAGGACTCGTTTGCGAAATTCATGCTTATTCATTGTCCAAACGACCTTTGAGGCGGATTCGATATTCGATTTATTGATACTAGTATCTAAAGTCATTAAGTGATATCAATATGTAGGGAGGAAATAGTAAAATGGCGCCCATTGCTAACAATCATTGTTGCCTAGGGGGTTTGTGGAAACAAGGTTTGTGCGTGATTTGTTGTCTCGCGGAAATAAATATTTTGCCAATAACTGTTGAATTCTAAAACTTGTTGCAGCGTATCCATATATTTGTTCTTTGTTATAACGTGTGGTACATGCGGAATTATATGCACCGTCGTAGGTACACGTAGATAAAGTTAGTTCTACACAATGTAACATGGAAAATGTCGTTCGTTTACATTCACTTTCTATACCATAAGCACGGCCTTCAGAGAAACGTTCTATTTGTCGATACATAATATTGATCGATACCAGTCCACTTTGGGTAGGGATATTTGTATATTTCCATTATACACAAAACTCATTCTCATAATAATCATTGTTGCCTGAGGATTTTGTGTGAACAAAACACATTTTGTGCGTGAATTTGTGTCTGGCGGAAATTAACTAGATTTTTTTTTTTTTTTTTTATTGTACATGAGATATAGACAATCATATGATTCGATTCCTGACATGGGCAGAAAGTGTGAAGCCCATTTCTGGTGTCCCCCATCGTGATATTGCTAGAATATTGCTAAAAGCAACGTAAAATCATACTCACTCACTGATTCCCTATTGGTCCTGTTTTTCAGTGAAGTACAAGTCAGATCTTCAAAGCCTTAAACATTTGTTAAAACCACTTTAACAGCAAGTGGGAAACCTTACTGACAGTTGCTGCAAATTTGAGCTGAGCAGGTCTACAGCTACATCAATGGTGACACCATGCTAAAAGCCCAATATTCCAGATGCCAAAACAACTATAATAGTTAATGTTGTGATTCATTCTAAAACTTAATAAATACATTTTGAACAAAGCCAGTAAGTCTACATCATATATCTGATATTTCTTATCTTCCAGCAGTAGGCTTGTGTTATCCTATTATTACAAGCAGATTCTATTTTTGACTTAACATAATGGGGGCGGTTTGGGTAGCCAAATGGTAAAAGCATTCACTCGTCACGCCGAAGACCCTGGTTTCGATTCCCTACATGGGTACTATGTGTGAAGCCCATTTCTGGTGTCCACCAAAATAATACAATGGCATTATACTGCTGGAATATTGCTAAAAGCGGCATAAAATCAAACTCACTGTGAAAGAATATGTTGTTTGTGGGTTTCAATCCCAGAATCCCCCTGATTATTACCCATGATTCAACAGCATTGTCACAGGTTTAACTTTAGTGGAAACATCTATGACAGTGTCAGTTGCTGCCAAGCTGTCCTTCTCCATAAAACGGGCGGAGGGCTGGGGTAGGTTGGGATGTTGGGGGTCAAAACAAATCTCACGTCTTCAATAGTTTAATAAGGGATGTCAGAGAAAATTATGTATGTTTTATCTTTATTCTCACAGACAGTCGAATCAAAGAGCAGCACATACAAGAAGTGACGGACAGGTTGAAACAAGGGAAGGTGGAGTGCTACCTGTGTGGTCCATCCCCCATGATAGCAAGTATAGAAACAATGCTTAAGGCTTGTGGCATCACTGAACCCAGCATTCACTACGAGAGATGGTGGTAGATGCTCTGGGATTGTATATTGGAGGAGTATCATGGCATTATGGAATTCCTATGGTATGTTTTATTGAGTTTTAAGCACATATCAGTTGTGCCCTTGACAAATGTAGTGATAATTCCAATGAAGTGTTGCTGTATTTGTCATAGGAATTTCCATGAAGCCCTCAAAAACCTGAATAAAATCTGTGATCACTGAGCAGTCTCAATTTTTATTGATTTACAATTTCAGGTTTTCAGGTAACTGTAGTACTTTTCCCTTGATAATTCAGGGTGGAACTGGTCCCTGTACTGCATGCTTGTGGTTAGAGTAACTACGAAATCATTGCTTTTACTGCTCTGCTATTACTGTTGGATATCTAGTGGTCGCTGACACATAGCTACGATTCACGCCTTCATAAGCTTCTTCTTCAGTAGATGTTGAATTTGCACCGTCCTTCACCAGCTCCGTCACTGTACCTTACAGAATATCATTTAACCATATACCCCCTTGTTCCCGAACCACTTACCTTCAAGTTCACCCAGTATTTCAACTGAAAATGAATTTTGTCAAAAGGACTGCACCTGTCAAAACAAAGGGGTCGAGTTTACTGTTGGGCCAATGTGTCTAAAATTCGTAACCTCGACAGAGACAGCAAACTCACAAAACTCAACTCCTTTCCTACTGCAACAGGAATAATAGTAGATTATATGTGGATACAGAACACCCCCCCACCACCTCCCATGGGGTGTCTATGATGTCATTGACCTATGACCTCCATATGACCTGCCCTTGACCTCTGACCTCATTTGATATTTGTGAGGTCACACTATTGTCCTTAGGTCAACAGGGAGTTGAATAGGTACTGTAGTCAATCGCACCTCTGTCAATAAGGTATTGAGACCGAATTGAATAGCTATTTTAGGGGAGTTGACAGAATAACTCATTAATATGCAAATGTATGCATGACGTCACAGGTCAAGTAGGTTAATAAAGGGTCAACTGACCAGATGCAACCATGCAATTAATTACTTGACCATTCGTTTACCGTAGAACACGGGATAGTAATGAATGTCCCTATATGGAAATGTTACTACGACCGGGGTTGGGTTGGGTCTTGACGCAGAATGGAACAGGTTAATGTAGAAAGATCTCCCAGATATTCAGTTACGTTAATAAAGGGTCAACTGATCGGAGGCAATCATACAGTTAATTACTTGACCAATCGTTAAACGTAGAACAACACGTGTCTAAACACAAGGTGGCGGACGTTGGCATGCACGCTCACAGGCGTCACGTGACCTCGGTCAGACTTAAATTTGTCTGATACAGACTATACTAGACTCCGTCCGACAAGTTAAACGCTTGACTGCACCCTATACCATGGCCAGCCACCCACCTGTAGATGATATAGTCCGTTCTACATAGCGTATACATTTGTAAACACATCCAACTAAGCCTTATCTTTCTTTCTTTTTTCCCCTTGGAATTAGACACAGCATAGTTTTGAAGTACAATGGGAAACGGCGTAGTGTACCAACTTATTATTTTAATAAATTGAACCTTGATACTTTTGTATTGTGTTTCTTTTCTCCAGAGCTGAAGGTTGAGTCACGTGATTTATTAATGAGATGCCATTCTCCATATAAGAAAAATCATACTTTTGAGGCAAAGCAGGCGTAAAAAGTCATATCATCCAAAAATATCTCCCATGGTAGATATCCCTTGTGTGAGATCAAGCGATACCTCCTTGGAGATATCACTACAAATGATGTCATTTGATTGTAGCAATATCTCCAGCATGACATCATATCCATTGTACCATCACTGTGACGTCACAATTGTCAAGCAGCAGCATTGTTCTGGCTTATGGCAGCCCAGAAAATGTCAGTAAAACATTTACAAAATAACACTCTAAATTACCTGAGTAAACTTCTTTTTCCCTAGTATGAATAATCTCTTACAAGAAAAACTCCCTTCAGTGAATCTACAAGTAATGATGGACTCAAATCTTTTAATATGTAAGGACAGACATGCTTTCAGTAGATGTGTTTTGATTCATATGAATACAACGTTATGTTTTAAAACAGTAATTGATGAATGAGTGTGACCAAAGTGAGGGCATCAGGTATTTGTGTATACCTCAAACCACAATCTCAAAAAGCTTTCATCAAAAAAGATCTACGTCATCAAATGTCTTTTCGACCACAAGCAGAACATGGCCACATTTTATCAAATTTGATTTAAACACATCACACTTTTCACAGACAAAGTGGTCAAATTGGCTTTGACACCTCAAGATGACAAGAGGTACTTGTTGGCAGATGGGATCGAATCTCGACCCTATGGGTTTAATTCTATTTAGAAATTTGTAACTTCTAAGAAAGTATGACAAGTGCCTAAGCAAACAATGGTTACATCATCACGAAATGAAAACCTCGAGTGGGGTTTGAACCTTGAAATGTGAAAGGTATTTATGTATTTTGTGTTTGGTTGTTTTTTAAATCATTAATTGTGAAAAAAAAAATTGTGAACTTCTTAAAAGATATTATTTCTTAAAAACGTAAGCTAAGTTCTTTTTTTTATGATAGAAACATTAACTTGTATGAAGCAAACTGAAAAAATAAGTTTTTGTTTGATAAAAAAAAAAATTCAACGAGAAAATAAAACTTGCATGAAAAAAATTAATAACAATGTAAATTTGTTTTGCGTGAGTGAAAAAACACATTCGTGCATCAAAAAATAAATAATGTGTAAATTAATATATGACAGAATTTTTTTTATTAACAAAGTATTTTTTTCTTTTGCATGATAGACAAATAAAACTTACATAAGAAGAAAACATAACATGCTTTGCTTTCTATTCACAGAATTAGTGGGGGTACAAATAAATTTGAATACAATTCAACCCATAGATATATGACATGGCAAAGGGAATGTTCCCTCGAAGAGATGTTTGAATCCCACACCAGACAAGTGGAACATTTGAATCTGAGTCTTGCCGTGAGAAAACTCACGAATAAATCCTCATCGTGGCTTCAGATTATTTAGTGAAAAAATATGTTGAAGTAAAATTTATATTTTGTGGGCAAAGTCATTAATAAGTCATAGACCAGACAAGGCCACAAGAAAGTATTGTATTCATTGACCATCCCACAAGGATGACAGATTGCAAGACAGTAACACTCTTGGTTCGTAGGTATCAACCGAAGCACGCAGGATTCACTGCATCAAATAACCCCATTGGTGATGCAGGCTTTCCTCCATCCATAAACCTTGCCGCCGCGATATAATTGTTGAAAACGGTGTTAAACCCCAACTCCCTCACTCTCTCATGCTTATGTCAAGAATATATATTTGTTGTGAAACATTAAACAGTATCAGTCACATTGAGTGAAGTGAGTGAATTATTATTATTCTAGCCTTGGAAAAAATTGTCAAGTCTGTACGGATCAGACAAATTACTCCCTCAAGTTGGTTATGGTCAAAAGAGATCACACAGTTTGGTCAATCAAAGCTCAATGTATATTCTGAAACAAAAGCCAAGTTTGGAGTCCCTGGTGTAAAAAGATTAAGATACTTGGAGGATAACTAATAATTCTCATTCTAATTGAAATTTAAAAAATGGAAAAAGTAAAATAAAGAAATTGTAAAGTTTTTCAATTGAAAATATAAAACCCGGTCTCGTGAGAGAATGAATGAATGAATGAACCATTCATGAAGTTTATTTTGAAACACTTCTCACACTATTTCTTGATGACCAAAGTCCGCTTTTTATAGCGAACTTTGAAAACTAAAATTGTTCATTATGAAATAATGAACCTTGGCTTAATGTGCCAGCTAAAACTAACTTGTAACATAATATTCAATCTTACATACAGGCTTGACCCCAATTATTTTCTATGGAGATGTACATATCTGCGAGCTTTGACTATTGTATTCAACAGGTCAAATCTGTTTGCATGGTTAGGTTCATTCACGGAATGAATCCGATGGGTCACACCTGTAGACAAGTGATCTTTCCAGTTTCACATGATCCCTGAAAAAACGTCCATAGGTAAAGGAAACGATAACACTAAACTATAAATGAGATGGTTCGATTTATTTACAGGGACTTGAAGGTACATACGGTTATAGGGAAACCATGTTTTCTATGGGATAAGAGAGACCTTAAACTAACTTACGGGAATAGAAGCTGCAGTTAATTATGATTTAAATCTGAGAATCAGGTATCAAAAAGATCCCTTCAAGACCTTTAAGGTAAATGAAGTGTGCATTGTCAAAACACAAAACACAAAACACAACGATAACACGTGTAGTAAGCCCTGGTTTGTATCTGAGTGCAGACAGATGCGCAAGTCATATAATAAGGCAAGAAAACGTTACAATTTCTCCAGTTTTAACCAACAGAAACTCCTATCTACAACAGGCTAAGGCATACAAAAGATGTTTAAATAAATACAAGAACAAATTTAAACACAGCGTAAGTAAACTTCTAAGAAGCAAAGCTAAACACTCATGTAAAGACTTTTGGGAAGTCTGAAATCCAAACCCCGAGGCCCTGAAACATTTAAAGCGAAATAAGGCACCTGACATTGACCTCATAGAAAATGACTACTTAATTGACAGTATCGATTTCCTTGGATGGGTTTATGTAGATTTATTTAACATGATCTTTCCCACAGGAACTGTACGCGATGTTTGGCTTACAGGAATTATTAAACCAATATATAAAAATAAAGGTGGCATATCAGATCCAGGCTCTACCGTCCCATTACTATTCTTAGCTTTATTTTAAACAGTAGATTATCAAAATTCCTTGATAGAAACAAACTTATATCTTCTTCACAAGCAGGATTTTGTAAAGGGCTGTCAAAAATTGGCAACATCTTTATACATTATACTATTATTAGTATCCCCAAACACACGAAGAAGAAACTCTTTTGTGCTTTCATAGATTTCACCGAAGCCATTGATAACATTTGGAGAGTTGGACTTTGGCATGAAATGTTGCATCATGGTATTTGAGGCAAATTTCTGACACTCGTTAAAAATATGTATGGAAATATAAAATCATGAGGAACCTAGAGAAGAAAGAGTTTCTACTGTCTGTAAACATGGTTATATCGAAGATGAGTATCACTTTATTTTAATTTGTGATTGTTATCAAGCTTTGAGGTCAGAATATATATCCTTGCATTATTATGAGTTCCCGACAAGACATAAGTACAATATTATAATATTCTGAAAGCTATGAACCTAAGGCAACGTCTGTTGGGATCTCCAACTCCCATCACCACACTGTAACCATTGTATCATGGGCCTATGGCCTACAATACATCTGAATAAAGTGAATGACTGCAAAAATCATGCGTGTTACATAATAATGACATATCCGAATACTTTCTAAGTATGTCGGGTGTGCGTCAAGGAGAAAACCTTTCACCATTACTGTTTTCAATATACTTAAATGATTTAGAAGCACATCCCATATCACATGACTGTGATGGTGTTAAAGTAGAATATGTCGGTGATAATGGAATATGATGTGCACAATTATTTCTTCTTCTATAAGCAGAAGATACTGTGTTATTCGGACAAAACCCACTTTCTTTACAATATACTCTACAACATGGAAACTGACTGTTAACATAGATAAAACAAAAATTGTAATTTTCGGTTCAGGTGTAGCAAGAAAAACGAAATTATCATTTTATTTGGGATATCAAGAACTCGACATCGTTGGTATAAATGTCTAGGTATTCAATTGAACAAAAACAGAAGTTTTATCTATGCTATTAAAAGTTTAACTGCTACAAAAGCAATGTTTTGTCTACTGAAAAGAGCCAGAAATATTAAATTGCCACTGGATTGCTTACTAAAGCCTTTCGATGTCATGATTGTACCAATTTTAACGTATGGGGCAGTAGTATGCAGTTATGAGCAAGTAGATATCATTGAAAAAGTTTGCTTAACAATTCTTAAAAATTACTACAGGGTTACGGCAACCAACTCCCAGCTTCTTTCTTTATGGCGAACTTGACAGAACTCCACTTAAAATGCAGATCTGCAAACGAGTTAAAAGCTTTTGGTATAAGCTTAATACTCCAACTGATAATATGAAACTCTCTCAGATAATGTATAATTATATTAAACTAGATAATAATACAAGTAGAGATTGCTGCAGAGCATCAATAGCTCCCCGCAATATAATGTAATGTGCAGAGGAAGGAAGTGTAAGCTATGGGAGGAGAGAATTTGTGTTAAGTACAAATTGGTTGTTATTAATGTACTTTTCTTTGGAAAGCACAATAAAAGAAACAGTGTCCTTAATCGGTCAGCATAAAGAAAACCCCGGCAAGAAAACTGGGCCTGCCAGGCAAAACTTGATATATACCCACTATTAGTACCAATAAAAAAAATCCTATATAGATAACACAACAAATGTCATTCTAAAGCATGCTTTTGCAGCAAATATCAATATTTCTGGTCAAAATGTTGGTTGGGTTAAATAAAGCAAACTTTTAAAATAGTAAACACAAAAAATGTAATGAATCCACTCTAAATATACTGC